CCGCCGGCCTCTCGGCGCCGGTCAGCCGGCCGCCCCCGGGAGGATGGGAAGGACAAGGCTGAGGGGCGGCCGGTGCCGCGCCTCCCGGGCGCGCTGCTAAGGGCGAAGGGCGGCGAGAGGGACGCGCGCCGGCCCGCGGGACGGGCGCCCCAGACGGCCATCGCGCCGACCCCCGCCGTCGCCTCCCGCAGTCCAGGCCACCGCCGTCCAGCCCGTTCCTCACCTCATCTCCGGAAGGGTCCGTGCTGCCGGCCCAGGGACAAATCAGTGCCGCTCACACGCCGCGGGAAGGGACGCAAGAGCCACAGCCCCGCAAACCATCCCCGCCCGCCTCTCCGTTCGTCCCGGAGCCTGCTCGGGATTCTCCCTCGCGAGCCGCCGTACTACGGAGCAACCAAGCTGCACTCCCTCCCCTCGCTCCTCTCTACTCCTCTCTACCTCCTTCGCTCCCTCCCTCACTCCCTCGCTCCCGCCTATCTCCTCAGCTGCCTCAGCTGCCTCGCCCGCCTCCAGGCACCCCTCTGTCTCCGCCTACAGCTGGGTGGGGACAGCAACCTACCAATCAGAAGAAAGATCCGCACCTCCTCACCGCCCCCTACCACTGGCCCCGCCTGCCCCAGGAATGAAAGGGGAGCCGCAAAAAAAAAAATGGACAAGGACGGAGTGACAGCCGTATAAACCAATCAGCAAGCTCGGAGGGGAGTAAGACTTTTCCCCCTTTCCTCCGCCCCTAGGAAGGTGTAACTAGAGCTTTCTGGTCTGGGATTTTCCTGTCGGGATTTTTTTTTTTTTTTCCTTTTTGTCTTTTTTCGTGACCGGCAACGGATCGCAGCCCTCAGTGTCGCGCCCGCACCTCGCTCAGCCAGTGAGCGGCCGGTCTGTATGTGGGATCCGAACCCTGGGCGGGAGCGCCGCCGCGCTCTCAAGCGGCGCACTGTAGCAATGCGCCACCGGGCCGGCCTTCCTGTCGGGATTTATGGAGATTTTGTTGCACGATTTTGGTGCATCTGCCCGTTGCCATGAAAGACACTATATAGGATGCATTCAACTAACTTAGTTATGGAAGGTTTTAAAGGCGAAAATAATGTGGAGTCGAAAAGGGAAGCGGGGCACAGTCCGAGGAAGGTGGTAGGGGATTCGGTTGGAATGAGGAAGGGTGTAATTTTTAAGTGAAATTTGCATAAAACGAAACCCATTCAGGCGACTCCAACTTCGCCCATTTATTGGTAACCTCTGGGGCGGTGTCTAGCACCTCCCCCCAAGCGAAGCATGCCGGGAGTTGTAGTTGCGAGTACGGTTGCTATGGCGGTCTCTACAGCCTCCAGGAGTCCGGCCCCGCCCTGAGGGAGTGACAAGCGGCCTGGCCAATGGGAGCACCGGCTGGGCCCAAGGGGCGGGCTGTCTGCAAAAGGACTTGAGGTAGCGGTGGCGAAGGCTCAGGCTGTTGGGGCCGCTCGGAAGCAGGTGAGCCTGGGTAAAGTGTTGTGTGTCTTGGGAAACGGGACATTGGGCAAAAGATCGAGAGACGCCCCATGGAACCGTCTAGCCCTGGGGAGGATAGTAGTTCGCCTCTCATCCCAACCTCTGACCCACTCCGGCCCAGGCCTAGCTTAGCTGAGGCCGCCGAGGGGCGGGTAAGACTAGACCTGACGGTCGATTTCGTGGCCTTTGGCACGTTTTGATTGTAGCTTTTATCTCAGATTGCATCTCCCTCCACATTTATGGAGGTGAAGGTCTGGAAGTTTCCTGCCTTAACCTCCCCAGGTTGGGTTTTTCCCCCTGCTTCTTTTTGTTTCTGTACTTTGAGTTTCTTTTTCTTTCTTCATTATCCTTTCTCTACCATTGCTTTCTCCCCCTTGACTTTCCTTTTTCGGCAAGCAATTACCTAAAGCAAGGGTATTCGCATTTACGTGGCTATAAGGCCAGATTTGCCCTCTTAATTGAGCTAGTCAGCGGAATACCCTGGAGTAATACGTAAGAATTACCTCAGGATAATATTAAAGTGCAGATACTGATTCTGTAGGTCTGGGCTTGGGTCTGAGAATCAGAATTTCTAACAAGCTCCCAGGTGCTGCTAGTCCACGTATGTATGAGTAGCAAGGTTCTACGTCCAGTTCTGTCCAATGCAAATGTAATGTGAGCCACTTAACGTCATTTTAAATATCCTGGTAGCCACATTTAAAAAGTGAAAAGAAAAGCTTGAAATTAATTTTAGTTGTGTATGTTTCATTTACCCCAGTATATCCAAAACTATCATTTCAACGTGTGATAAAATATTTAAATTTTTCGATTTTTTTCCCCCTATTAAGTCTTCCAAATCTGATGAGTACACTTACAGCACATCTCGATTCCGCCTAGACATAGTTCAAATGCTCAGTAGCCACCTGTGGCTACGGCTACTGTTATTGGACAGTGCAGATCCAGATGATGTAATAGCCCACTGCACCAATTTTAATGTGTTAAACATAAGGTTGCACATTACCAAACCCTTCGTCCCTCTGTAAGATGAGCTTCAGAACTTCTTTAAGAGGTTTCTGCCCAACTTACAGAAATAATAGTAAAATTAGCTACCATTTATTGAAAGCAAAGTCTTGTACTGAATGCTTTGATTATATCATTTAATCCTTACAGCAACCCTTGGAGGTAACTCTTGGTAGTTATCCTAGAAAGGTTAAAATTACCCCAAAGTCGTGCAACTAGTAATTAGGACAGCCGGGATTCAAACTAGGGTCAATTATGACTTCTGAATTCAAGGGCTAGCCATTTACTTCAGTTGGTTAAAGCACTGTATTATAACACCAAGGTCAAGGGTAACACCAGGGTCAAGAGTTTGGATCCCCTTACTGGCCAGCCACCTAAATAAATAAATAAATAAGTTCTATCCATCAGCCACTGCAATGTATAATTTATTATGAATAAATAATTTTTAACTCTTATTACAAATTTCACTTCATTGATGCTTCTGCTCCAGCTTACAGCAGGGAGTAAGATACTCAGATCTGAAACGTCTGTAACAACTTTCTTGAAATAGAGTTCCCCATACAAGATCAAGCTGCCTATCATTTGCTGTGAAATATTTAGGGCACTTACAACTCTCCATGCTATGCATTTAAAGTCAAAGTTCTGGATTGAAGAAGAGAGTTGAAAACCTCAAGTAATTATTCAGGCCTCTGGACCAGTACTATACCCTGGACAGTAATGAGTCTTGATTCATTTGTGTACCTCTGAAGAAGGAAGGTGGGAAAGCCTGAAAATTCTTAAAATGCTTCACTATGGAATCAGTTTTGGGTTTTGTTTGTGTTGAACTCTTTTTTTATTTGGTTGATAAAAATGAATGTTTTTTTGCTCTTATAAGTATCACATAGAATGTTTCAAAGACAACTTCATGCCTTTTGTAGACTCTGACTATACTGAGCTAAGGAGAGCTCTATGAATAGAAGAGCAAAAATACACATATCCACATATGCTAAAATATGGTATTTTGCAAAATAATTTTCTTCTATTTTTATACATTTTAATGATATACCTTATGAAATTATTTTCTTTTGATTTGAAATTTTTATTAAATATTTAGTCAAAATTACAATTCATATTCTGCATTTGAAACAAGAAACGATTTCTTCAGGATCCTATAGTGAATGGGAAAATTAAATAAGCATTTATAAACTGTAATAATGCAATAATGTTAGTAGATGGAGAAGATCAGATAAATCAGTTGGAGAGGAGGGAGAAAGTGTGATAAGAGATTAGCAAGAATCCTGCAGTTGCTTATCTTCTTCACACCACTGACCTCTGCATTGTCCCAGTGTCACATGATTAAGCCAGCATAAAGGAAAGATAGTCATTCATCACACCATTGGCTCCATTGTTCCCCAGGAGCACAATCTGGGAAAATATGATGCTAATTCAAAATATAAATGAAAGTTAAATTTCAGTTGTTCTGGATCATGCTATATGAAATGGCCCTACATTGAATAGTAACTGGACCAGACATTTCCAATCTTTGGGAGAATGACCATCCCACCTCACACAACCTACCCCCACCACCACCCTCCAGAGGTACTGGCAGGGGTGCATCATGTAAGAAATCCTAGACTCTTAAGTAAAAATGTATTCTGTAAATGAACAGATAATAAAAGTAAAGCTCTCATGGGGAGACGGAGAGGTAATCAGAAATTTTTCTGAGATTCAAAAAAGGTCTGTTGGGAAACCACTGTGCATAGATGAGCAACAATATGAAAAGTGCCTTTTTTTTGGCTTCTGCCTAAAGCCTATATCAAAAAAATTTCCTTTTCTGCTTCTCCCCCAATCTTTAGATCTCAGGTTGTGTAAAATGTAGAGATTATGTCACACATGTACAAATTCAGTCAAATATGTCTTGATAATATTCATAGAAATCTAGATTGTCATAATTAGAAGAGACCTAAACAGTCATCTGATCCTGCCTCCCACTCAGCTGATGCTTGAATCCCCTTTATGAAGCCCCTGTAACTGCTCATCCAACCTGTGTTTAAACCCTGCTAGTGATAAGGGCAACACAACTTCATTTTTCTTTTTTTTAAGTTTTAAATTATATACCTAAAACATGAAAGTAGAGGGTTCTTAATATACATCTTATTAGCTAGACTTGCTTTCCAGGGTTAGCCGGGTGCAAGTACTGTTGCACCATCTCCTGTGCCCATCACATAAAAGGCACAAAAGAGCAGTGCAATTATAAGCAGCAAAACACCCGCATACTCATTGCTTATGCAGTGTCCTTAGAGTATACAGATTTCTAGAGAATGTTGCTTACACAATGTAAAGATGTCCTCTGATGGTTAGGACCATGCATTCACCTCCCTTTTGAAGCACAGTTGGCCTATCTGGTCAGCACTACCATCCTCCACAGCCTGCAACGTACAATATTTGAACCAAAAGTCCAGCTAGTTACTTTGATTATGCTGTCTATATTTTTTAACCAAATACTTGGGCACCTGGTTTGACTCGTATTTCTTTTTCTGATGTGTCTCACAGATTAATAAGAACATTGTTAAAATATTACTTCTTCCTGAATGATCAAATATAACTGAAGATATCCCCCTAACAGTTCAGCTAGTATTATAATGCTGCGCACAAGTCCTGAGACAGGATGGGGAGTAGGGTGTTGGATACCCAGACAGTCCAAGAGGTCTGGTATGGTGACCAAGTTGAGCATATGGGGCCACATTTCAAAGTTGACTTCATTTGTTTTTCTGTAACTTAGCTGCCTAAAAATATATCTTTGCTTTCTTTAAAATAAAAAAGTTAGAAACATTATAACTGAATTCTGAACCTGAAGTGGCCATAGTATTACAATGTTTCTATTGAGGAATAATAAAAATTTGAGCATACAAGAAGAATAGTTTGTTGGCCATAGGGTATAACAGATGGATTGGATGAGGAAGAGAAATGAAGCCATTCAGCAGCCTGTGGCCATAGCCCAGGCCTAAGGCATAGAGGTATTTGTTCACACATTACCTGTGCTAAGGTGATGGCCCTTGAAAATGAGCAGGCTAGGCAGGACATGATAAAGGAAAAGAATGTTTATGGCTGATAACTTAATACAGAGGGAGGAGTTATGATTGAATCTAAGGTATCCCTGATGACTGAAGATTACAGCATAATCTTGTTTGAGGGAAAAATGAGTAGTTTTATGTGTGTTAGATTTGAGGTTGATCTGATACTCAGGACACTTTTTACCTGAAAGTGTAGGTAAGGAATGATCTGTAGAGGTTTTATTTACAATTATTAATAGATGAGCTCCTTGGGGGATTGAGCATAGCAGGAGAAGAGCAAGTGGAGTTCGTGTTGCTGTTATAAGAAAGATGAAACCATTTGAAATTACTTCCCATTGATTGTTTTTTAGAAATCCCTTAACAGATCAGTACCTTTATTAACTACTTTCTTGAAGTGTGTGTGTTTTTTTTTTTTTTTTTTAAAGATGACCGGTAAGGGGATCTTAACCCTTGACTTGGTGTTGTCAGCACCACGCTCACCCAGTGAGCTAACCGGCCATCCCTATATGGGATCCGAACCCGTGGCCCTGGTGCTATCAGCACCGCACTCTCCCGAGTGAGCCACGGGCCAGCCCGCTTTCTTGAAGTGTTTATAGTCAAATGTGTAATTTATACAAAGTGCTTTTTGCTTTTACCAAAAATTATTTTAAATATATGTATTCTTAGTTTTTGTCTCTCCAGATTTTTAATAGGTTTTAATGTGTACCCATTATGAAAATTTAAAGTATTACTAACATAATCCAGTTTGTGGATTTATGTCAAATATTTCAAAATTCTGATATACCTGTAAAAATATCAAGTCTCTATGCACTTCACAGCACATATCAGCCTACATTTTAAACAAGGTTTGTGGCCATTAAGAAGTTTTATAAACTTACCACAAATGATAACTATGTGATGTAATGCATTTGTTAACTAGCTTGATTTAACTATTTCACAATGTATATGTACTTCAAAACATCATGTTATATATTATAAAACATACAATGTTACCTGTTAATTTTAAAAAATAAATTTTAAAAAGTTTTATATGTAGCTATTTTTTGATATAGCAAAGTTTGTAGTGTGTATTAGTCCATTTATGTTGCTTATAACAAAATATTTGGAACTGGGTACTTTCTAAAAAAATGAAATTTATTGCTTAGATTTTCAGAGGCTGGGAAGTCTAAAGTCCAGGGAACACATCTGGTGAGAGTCTTCTTTGGTGGTGGCTTTACAGCAACACAGGGGTCTCACATTGTAGAAAATGGCAGAGCAGAGAGGGAGAGACTTTTAAAGCCCTCAGAACCACACCCATGACCTCCATTATTAATTCATTCATTAGGACATGGTCCTCAGAATCCAATCACTTCTTCAAAGTCCCTACTTTCAATTACCATAATAGGATTTCCCACCCTCTTAACAGTCACAGTGAGGATCAAGCTTCTAATACATAAAACTTTGGGGACATAATTCAATCCATATCATAGTGGAACATGTAATTTTGGTTTTTGTTTGTTTGTTTGTTTGTTTGTTTGTTTTTAAAAGATGACTGGTAAGGTGATCTTAACCCTTGACTTGGTGTTGTCAGCACCACGCTTTCCCAAGTGAGCTAACTGGCTATCCCCATATAGGGATCCAAACCCATGGCCTTGGTGTTATCAGCACCATACTCTCCCAAGTGAGCCAAGGGCGGCCCTGAACATGTAATTTTGAAGTCACATGACTTTCTTAGAAAAGTCATGATAAGTATTTCATATTTAATTTCTATTTTTATTTTATAAGATGTTCAGTTATTTTATTTCCTGAGGAACAAATGTCTTTAAATTCAGTAAAAATTTTACTAAATTACAGACTAAGTGTTCCGTTTCATCCAGACCAGTACCCAAAAAACCATGTAGGCCTTGAATGTCGTCCATTCTACTATTTTCTTAGTGCTAGGAACTCAGTATTCACTTTTTGGATTTGCAAAACATAATATTTCCTCAGTTTTCTTCTGGCCACTTTTGTAAAAACACCTCTCTCTTTACTTTGTAATTTTAAGAATATTCTTGTTCGCACACAGTTCTTAATTGGACCAACTAAACATTACTTTTTTCCACCAGCCAAGCTGATTTTCACCTAATTTGGAGGAACTATTTAGGATGATCTTACTAAAAATATTGGTGTTACTATGTATATAATATTTGCTTTATATACCTAGTGGTATATACAAGCAGTTATCTTGCAGAGTCTTTGAAACTAGATCACAGTGTAAGGGCTATGTGACCACTGATCTAGGAGACATGCCATATGTTTTAAGATTCAATGGGCAGAGAAAACAATGGCTTCCAGAGTCACAAAGGGAGATGCTTTGAAATCAAGGTGTTGATACGTAACTTCTACTTCTCAGAAAGGCAATCCTAGTGGCTGCAGACTGAGTAGGAGCAAAGATTTATTTATTGGATAATAATGGGTATTGATTCCCCCCCAGCAATAGCTGGGAAAGCCCACTAGTTAGTAAGTAAATAAAGCAAGGTTTTGTTTGTTAGTATGTAACAAAATCTATAAGCATGGAACAGATGGGGTAGATTGAGGTGTCATTAGGTGTGATTTCAGAGAGATGATAGGACTTGAGCTTTATTTACTTAGCAGAATCTGTAGAGAACGGGCCATGCCTGGAAGTCCTGAGACAGGGGTAACCATAAGGTATGAAGTCATACTGACTAGATCAGACAGAGAGTATATGTTGGAAAATTGTGGGAAGTGTGAGGTAGACTAGAGAGAGTGAGTATGCATTTTAGAGAGCCTTGAAAGCTAGGCAGAAGAGGTTAGACTTAATATTGTAGGGAATATATAGCTGCTATATTTATGCTTAGGTTACCACCACCACCCCTACCCCCAACAGACACAATGACACAAATAAAGACCTAAAACCAAAGGGTTAGAATTAATTTAATCATTTGACCTAGTTCACCCAGTTTTTATATACTTTGTTGATACCTGCTACATACATAGTTTCTATATATGTCTTGAATGTGTATTCATTTCTATTAGTTCCAGCATTTGATTACCACATCCTAGAAGCAGCAACCATTGCTTACCTTCACTCAGTAAAAACCCTTTATATGGATCCAGTGAGATCCACTAAGATTCAACACATGGGGTTGGCTTCATGGGCATGGACCCAGAGCAGTTTCACTGGGCCTCATGCTCAGAAGGGACCTGTGTTTGGTATAACGTTCTCCTATTGCCCTCTTGAAGTTTTAATAATTTCTTGACAAGATTCCCCACATTTTCATTTTGCACAGGGCCCTGCAAATTATGTGGCCAGTTCTATCAACAAGTCCTTAATAATTATCAATCCTAAAGGGTAAAGTATTCTAGTTTTAAGTGATATATCTATCATTAACAGCTCAATATAATGGTGAAGAGTAGTGACTTTGGAATCAGTAGCACCTGGTTGGTGTTTCAGTTCTCGTTGAGCGGATATTATGAGACCCCAGGTATGTGCCTTAACTTCTCTAAGACTCAGTTTCCTCATCCATAAAATAAATGAAATAATAGTACCCCCAAAAGTATGTACAAGAATGTTCTTAGGACAATTTGTAAAGGCCCCAAATTGCACACAATTCAAATGTCTATCTCTAGTGGAAAGGATAAATAGTAATTTATTCATACAGTGGGATACTAGATAGCAATGAGAATGAATGGAGTACAACTACAAGCAACAGCATAAGTGAGACTCACAAACATAATACTGAGAGAAAGAAAACAAACATGAAGGAGTATGGTTTCACTTATTTATATAAAGTTCAAAAACAGACATAACTAATCTGTGCTGTTAAAAATCAGGATATTGGATATCCTTAGGAGGAGGAGGGAAGGTAGTGACTAGAAGGGAGCACACAGGAGCTTCTGATGTTCTAGTGATGTTTCTCCTGCTGTGACATGAGCGTATTCACTTTGTAAAATTTGGCAAGATGTATGCTTAGGATTTGTGCACTTTTCTGTATGTATTTTATACTTCTATAAAATTCGTATTTTAAAAAATAGTCTTGCCAAATGTTTACTATGAAAATTAAAGAAAAAACTGTGGAATCCTTAGAGATGCTTCAAGAAGTCCATAGAATATAGGTTTAAATACTTCCGTTAAATGACTTATAGATTGATACAGAATAATTAAGGCCACAGTTTCAACCAGTATCTTGGCTGTCCACTTTTTCTTTTCTGATGGTCGTTAAAACTTTGAGGGCTGGCTGGTAAGTTCAGTTGATTAGAGCATGTTGTCATAACACCAAGGTCAAGGGTTTGGATTCCCATAACAGCCAGCTGACGAGAAAAAAAAAAAAAAAAGACTTTGAAAGCCCTTTCAATGACACTTTTGGTAAATAAAACTGAGCTTTGCTGTCCATTGTAAGATTTTTTTTTAAGAATATTTAATATTTTTTATTGAATAGGAAAGTCAAATTAAGCATATGTTTGCCTTCGTAGTGAAAGGTTGAACTGTAAATCCATACTCAGTAAGATATGGGTATTAGTCCATTTCTGTTGCTTATAATAAAATACATGGAAATAGGCATTTTATAAAGAAAACAAAATTTATTGCTTATAATTTTGAAGGCTGAGTGCAGTCACAGTTCAGGGAACACATCTGGTGAGGGTCTTGGTGGTGGTAACAGTGACAGCAGACTATCACATTACAAAAACAGTGGAGCAGATAGAAACTAACCCCCTCATTCACTCTCTTTTTAAAGCCCTCAGAACCATGCCCCAACCACTGTTTTTAAGCTATTTGCTGTGGCGTGATCTTACAGTCTAATCACCTGCCCAAGGCTCCACCTTTCAATTACCCAATAGGATTTCCCACCCTCCCAACAGTCACAGTTGGGGCCAAGTTTCTGATGCATAAAACTTGGGGGGACACAATTCAAGTTTCAATGACTTTGGGGGACATTCAGTCCACTACAACATGTACCTAGAGATTGCTGCATATTCTCTTCATTTTGTGAAAGAACTATTAGCTAAATTACTTGTCTGAAAACTACATAGTTGTCATTATATCCTTTGTCAATACTATTTTTTAATTTTTGCTTTCATTTGGTCTGGAAGACTTATTTGTTTGCTTATGTGTATGTGTGTGTGTGTGTGTGTGTGTGTGTGTGTGTGTGTGTGTGTGTGTATATATATATATATTTTTTTTTTTTTAGGTGACTATGAAAGGCTTATATTTTCAACAGAGTTCCACAAATGAAGAGATAACATTTGTATTTCAAGAAAGGGTAAGAAAATTGTTTAATCATTAAATGAAATAAGATAGTATATTTTCTATAGACCCACTTTTAAATGACCTGTAGTAAGTTATTTTGAGTGGAATTAAATGAGCAAAAATTACTTAAATGAAACTTCTCAAACTACTTTCCTTTAATCTTTATGTGAAAATGGTGGTCTGTATTGTAGTATAACTATATTTTTAAAAGAATTGCTACAAAAACGTTTTTAGTTCCTTGGGGTGAAGGTATGAAGGTATTAGGAAAGCAGAGTAACCTTACTAGTCTTATATGTTGCAAAATTAGCCTAATTCATCCTGAACACAACAATAAAGTGAGTTTTCAGATTATAACCATATTTCAGAAAATACATTGTCTCATATTGTGAAAAAAGATAGAAAAGTATTGTTTTTCGTGGAAATTTTGGAGATTGGCAAAGTTACCTCGTTCACTAAGCTTTAAATGATCTCTAGTTTTTACTACTTAGAGTATAGATAGTAGAAGTTTTATTTATTGGTAATTATTAGAAAGGTTTGTAGAAAGCCAAAAATCATTCCACTATAAATTTATTTATTTATTTATTTTATTTTATTTTTTTTAAAGATGACCGGTAAGGGGATCTTAACCCTTGACTTGGTGTTGTCAGCACCACGCTCAGCCAGTGAGCGAACCGGCCATCCCTATGTGGGATCCGAACCCGGGGCCTTGGTGTTATCAGCACCGCACTCTCCCGAGTGAGCCACGGGCCGGCCCATCCGCTATAAATTTAGAGATGAAAAGTGTGTGCTACATGTATATCAGTATTTCATAGCAATAATAAGAATTTCTGGATCATGAACACAATCCAGTTTTTCTCTCTTGCCTTTTAGTACAAAATCATTTAGGTCAGGAGTCTAAGTCTCAGACAGCTTAGCTTCTACCATTGCATCAGGATGAGGGTCTAAGGTTCGATTGACTCTGGGAATGAATCGTCTCCAGGTTCAATTACGTATGAAAATTTTCACAACATAAAGTCATGTTTTCATAAGGATGTGTAATACATTATTTTGTTATCATTTGGTTCTAGGAAAATCTTCCTGTCACAGAGGATAACTTTGTAAAACTTCAAGTTAAAGCATGTGCTCTGAGCCAGATAAATATGAAGGTATTGGTGCTTTTATTATAGCCAAAAGTCAAATGACAGTTTCATAGTACTATATTTAGTGTACAAATATAATAATAACAAACTTCTGAGTGCCAAGAAATTATCATCATTTTTAGAAGAATAGAGAAACAAGGAAAAAAATTTAGTGTGCAATTGTGTATTTCTACATTAGGGTAAATTATTAGTCTGATTGAAGTCATGTATTTTGTATCATTACATGAAAATATTTTATAAACTCCTTTACTTTGCAAAAGGCTGAGAATTCATACTTACTAAGACCAATAATCTAGGAAGAAATTACCTTTATAAATACAATAAAAACAAAAAACCACAGTCAATTAATTTATTAGACACTGATTCTGTAGATATTTCTACCTAATGTGTTTGGATATGGTTCATATTCTTCCTGTTGTTTCTATTTGTCTGTCTTTCATAAACACACATCCCCAACCTCATACAACCCCCAGTAATATTATACATTATAGACCACAAAATACATGGAAAGTCTTCAAATGGTAAATAAACTATGGTTGAGTGAGCCATGATAAATAGAGCAGGTCCATTTACTCAGTTTTTTGTAGATTAATACCATAGTTTATTGGACCCTTAACTATTTAATTATAATGTTGCCATAATATCTAGGAATCTAAAAGTTTTATTTGATAAAGTCACTCTTAGGGAAATTATAGAACAAGGTCATAGGCTTACATTGGGTAACTCTGTAACATGAGCATGACTTGAGAAATGTAGATCCCCTGTAGTCTTTTCACCAAGAATACTAGTACTGGTTCTTGTCTGCGGACTTCTGTGTTCAGAAGATGTTCTTTTTAAAACCCAGAGGAATGGAAATCATCATGTCGAAGGGATACCTGCACTCCCATGTTCATCACAGCTCTGTTTACAATAGCCAAGATATGGAACCAACCTAAATGTCCATCAATGGATGATTGGATAAGGAAATTGTGGTATATATACACCACGGAATACTACTCATAAAAAAGAATGAAAAGAATGAAATTCTCCCATTTGCAACAACATGGATGAGCTTGGAGAAACTTATGTTAAGTGAAATAAGCAAAGCTCAGAGGGATAAATACTGCATGTATTCACTCATAAGTGGGAGCTAAGAGAGAAAGAAGGAAGGAAAGAAAGACCACAGTGGTGTGTTGGACTTGCAACATATATGGAAGAGAACATATCTAGGGATACGAAGTGGAGTGGGGGAAAGGGGCAGGGGAGGGAGGTTGGGGATAATTCGGTGGGGGACACGGGGTCCAATCGCAATTTGTGGTAATGGGCATTCTGCCAGTATAGATCTGGCCTTCACATCTAGGGCACGGGGGAGACAATCAGCCTTGTATCTCATGAATATTCTTAACCAATATAAATAAATAAATAAATAAATAAAACTGAAAAATCCATTAAAATCCAAATCTAGGAAATAATTTCCCTGTCCAACAGAAAGAAATAGTAAATTTCAGTAAAATCAATTGAATGAAATATTTAAATATAACAGTTATGAAAACTGTATAGTAATGAAAGAAAATGCTTATGGTATGTAAGGGAAGCAAAATGCATTGCTAAAACCGTGATTATAACTCTGTAAAAAAATGTGCACTAAAAAGATACTGTAAGGAAATCATCATGCCAAAGGGATACCTGTACTCCAATGTTTATTGCAGCACTATTTTCAATAGCCAAGAGTTGGAACCAGTCCAAATGTCCATCATCAGATGATTGGATAAGGAAACTGTGCTATATCTACACAATAGAATTCTACTCTGCTATAAAAAAGAATGGAATACTACCATTTGCAACAACATGGATGGACTTAAAGAAAATTATATTGTGAAACAAGTCAGGCACAGAAACAGAAATACCGCATGTTCTCACTTATTTGTGGGAGCTAAAAATAAATAAACACACAAACAAAGGGTGTTGGGGGGGAAGAAGACACAGCAATCACAACAATTCCTTGAACTTTTTAAGACAAGTGAACAGATATGATGGGGGGGAGATTGGGAGGGGGGAAGAGGAACGGGTAAAGGGTCATGAAAATCGACTACAATGTATATTGAGAAGTTAAAATAAAAATAAATAAATAAAAAGATACTGTAAAACACCCAGTACTTCTATAAGAATGCCATATGGACATCTTAGGAAAAGTATAAAGTTCCATATTGAAAAAGAGACTTCTGGCAATCAGGTATACATACAGGAGACCAAAACATTGAAAAGTAAAGGAAATACACAAGAGAATTACTTCATTTTTTTAAATAACTCTTCCTAAAATAGTGTGATGTCTATAAATATGTTCAACATCTCTAATATTATAAGTAGCAGAAATTTACACTATGGCTTATCTTAGTGCACTGTGTTACTTTAAAAGAAGTATTTATAATTTGGTCAGAATCTAACAAAATACTAATCTCTTAAAAATAAAAATTTAGCCTAAAAAAAAAGATTCCCATGAATCTGAAATCATATGGCAGTATCCCTATGAATATCCATCACTTCCTCCCACCTGCTCCCTAACCCAAAACTTGAGAAAAACTCTGATGATTTTTAAAGTATAGGAGTGGAGAACCTTTTGTTCTTATTGGCCACATTCAACAATGTCCCCTCCAAACTCCCCTCACCCCACCTCAATAAGGTAACTGATAAACAGTGTTTAACCAATCAAGAAATGTTTGGCCATAATTTCCCTTCATACTTGGCAGAGTAAAAATGTTAAGCAAAGGATGTTAATGGTGATTTGAATAGTAATACTCATGCCTAAGTCCTACATTGCAGCTAATTCCTCAGCAGACTCTTGGTTTCTTACCCTATTAAAAAACCTATTTTGCCAAGTTATTTGCTTTGTCTTAATTCCAAAAATTGAATGATATTTTCTCTTTCTGTAGTTTCATTTTTGCCCTCACTTTCATCGTGTATGAGAGAGGCCAGGATTTATTCTTGACAATAATGTGTTAACAGTCTTTGTCATGATTTAGCTTCTGGCGGAAATGAAGATGGAGAAGGATTTCTTTCCTGTTGGGAGAGAAATTGCTGGAATTGTGTTAGATGGTAAGTTTACAGTTGTAAATATCTGGGGTTTTTTTTGTCTAGGGCAAAATAAATTAAATGGTAGTTAATTTGTTCACCAGTACATAGAATTATACACACTCCTTCAAATATAAAATTTAATTATATAAAAATAACTTTTTAAAAAATTTAAAAGATATGACTTAATTGGTATCTTATAATTGAATGGCTTTTTACAGTTTAGAAAATATTTCAGGATTATGTATTTAAATCCACAAGTATTCACATATCAAATAGAATGACCACTGTTGTCCTTCTTAAGTTTGTCTAAAATTGAGCAAAATTAAACAGTTTGTTCATCCAAAAATGGGGCTTTTTTTTCTGGCCAGTACAGGGATCAAACCCTAGACGTTAGTGTTATCAGCCCTCTACTCTAACCAACTGAGCTAATCAAAAATGGGAATTATGGTTTCTGGGAAGAAATAACTAGGGAGATTTTATGGTTGCCTTAAAATGTTTTTTTAACTTTTTTTTAGTAAAAAATGATCCTAACACACAGAACAGTAAGCATAAGTATTATTATTATTTTTTTTTTTTTTTTGTCTTTTTCGTGACCGGTAAGGGAATCGCAACCCTCGGCTTGGTGTCGCCCGCACCATGCTCAGCCAGTGAGCGCACCGGCCATTCCTATATAGGATCTGAACCCGCGGCGGGAGCATCACTGCGCTCCCAGCCCCGCACACTCCCGAGTGCGCCATGGGGCTGGCCCAAGCATAAGTATTTTAGATAATTTGTTTCTAAATAGTTCTATTCTTGATATTCATTGAGTTCAGAGAATTCACTATCTAGGAGAGAGACACATACATACATACAGTATGAACAGATTATTATGAAAGCTCGGAGAAGAGCTGCCCAACCCAGCCAGAAGAAACAGGAAAGGCTTCTTGGAGTAAGTTGTCCAGATAGTAAGGGGCAGGAAAGTGGAGAATCACACTCAGCAGAGAGGATATCATGAGCAGATACAAAGAAGCAAGCAATAATGGGATGTGTGTAAGAATTACAAAGAGTTTGGTGTTGCTGGAGCAAAATAAAGTTCTAGGCAAGAGTCAGGGGCAAGATACTTAACATCAGAGAAACATTTTGTCCAAAAAAATGCTCTTCACATGTAGCAGAATAAAACCTATTGAGCAAAATAGTTTAATGATGATATGAACACTGATTTCTTCCACCAAAAATGAAACAGGGTGGTAGGCAAGGGCCAGACTCTTGGTGAGTCTTATCAGATTGAGTTTTAGGGAGATATTTGGGTAGCCATATGAAGGGTAGGTTTGAGGTAAATCAGTGTATGGGCAAGAGGACTGGTTAGGGTGTAGACCAAGAGGCAGGAAATGACAAAATCCATAACCCAGACAGTGGTGGCAAAGATGGAAAAGAAGGACAGATTCAAGAAATTTGGGGGCAATGAAGTCAGCAGGATTTAATTGATTTGGAACTAGGGAATTGTAAACAGGTAAGAACCACAAATGACTCACAGAATTCTGGTTAAGGCATGAATTGGTACCACTGATTGATAAAGGAAGAGATCTGATTTGGAGGAAGAAGGTGAGTTCAGATTCATACTTGTTGAGTTCAAGGTACTTAAGTGGCATATCACTGGTGGTATCTAGTAGTAAGCAGTTATATGAGTTGAAGCTCGAGGATGAGAGATCTATGCTGGAAAGGTATATATTTGAGAATTATCAGCATGTATATTGTATTTGAAATAATAGAGTTGGCTAGTTCACCCAGGAAGAGAGTAGAAATGGAAGAGAGATAAACATATAATCTTTGGGAATGCCACTGGTCAAGGAACAATTGAAAGAAAAGGAGTGTGAAGGAAGCAAGAAAAAAAGTTCAGAGTGATCCCAGGAGGACAAGGAAGCAAGTAATAATGGGATGAAGCTGAAGAGAAAGAGAAAAGTGCAGTGGATCAGAAGCCAAAAGTATTGGAGGATGAAGGCACAGTCAGGATCCAAAGAAGCAGCAAGCTGCAAAAGGAGGACTTGAAAGTAGGATACCAGACTCAGAGTTACTTTCTGAGTACCAACAAATGAATTCTGGGTTTATTTTGCTGACAGGGCCAGTCAATGGAGTGACTTCCAGATTTCAAGTTTCCACCTTACTTCACTGCTTCACCTCCATTTCCTTGTCTGTTAAATAGGAATAATAAAACCTACCTCATAAGTCTGTTGTGAGATTGTGTAAACACACTAAAATGCCAGGCCCAAGTAGACATTCAACAGTGTTTGGGGTTTTTTCCTCCCCTCTCTTTTCTAACTCTTTGAGCAAAAATATTCAAACGAATTACCTCATAAATGATGCTTTTTCTCTACATATGCAGAGAAAATGTAACTATATCATTTCTGTAAAGTTTCAAAAAAACTTTTGGTGCCAGTCTGAATTTATTTCCCAAATTAAAGTAATTTTATATGTGACTTAGAATTCCCCGTTGTGTAAGATTCTACAACTAAAATAATGATAGGAGACTGGCTAGCCACAGGAGGGGTAGAAAACAACATAATCATCATAAAAATTATAGAATGGATTATTTTCCTTTACTCCTTCATCTTTAAAGTTAGCTAAGTAGGTAGAGAGCCACAGAGAGAGACATATTCCTCCATGGTATCAACAACCACGAGAATCCAGATTGGAAGTGTTCTATCCTACAGTCCTTACAGATCACCAAAATGTCCTAGAAGTTCTTGGCCTTTTCTCTGAGTTAGTGACTCTTTTTAATCCCATAGATCTTTTAATTTATTTTAAATGTTAAATAATAATTACATTTAATAACCTTGTAATATTACCTATTAATTTTCTCCACCGTTTAGTTGGAAGCAAGGTATCATTCTTTCAACCAGATGATGAAGTAGTTGGTAAGTTATAGTTCATAGTCCTGTTTAAATTATCTATTTTTCTTCTTTTTCTATACAATTATTAATGTTCATTGTGACTTTGCTTTAAATAGAAATACTTCCCTGATTTTTGGAATTTGCTCTCAAATACTGACATTTCTCAAATGAAAATTGAGAGTTTGATCCCAATAGCAGAACACTTAAAACTTGTTACTATTTAGCTGTAGAACCATTTTATAGATAGAAAGGTCAGTATAGTTGCTACTGTTCTTGGTGCAGCCCTTTCCTGGCAGGGCCCCAGTCTGTGGCCAGACTGAAGTCTCTAGAGAAAAAAAAAGTCACAGGTCATGTGCTTGAAGACTGCTGACTGAGTGGGCCATGTAGAAGATCCATTCTTCACTTCAACTTGAATCCTACAGAGCTTCTCCTTTACTGCTCTTATAAAACTAAAAATTGACTTCAAACACTTTTTAAAAAATCTATAACTAATACTATTATCATAAATATTTATACTTGTATCCTACATAGTCACACAAACATAAATAGTGTATGATTTTGTAGTAGTCTTTGAAATTTCCATTTCTCCATGGAAGATATTTGTATAAACTTCGAAAATGTTTAGCCTTACAGCATGCCTGAGGCTGTTAAATAGATTTGTAGGAAAGTTTTCTTTTTTTTACAGTATTGCCTTTGACTCAGGTATTTTCCTGGAGAATTGATGATATCTTTCGTATCTTTTTTTCTGCCCGAGAAGTCAGTGACCCTCTGTACTACTCAAGGTTCTTTTTGTAAGAGATCAAAAATAAAGTCAGACTAGCTTAGGGGGAAATGGGATTTTATTGGAAGAATACCAAGGTATCTTATGGAACCAAATTATCAGAAGGTAGCCAAGTATCAAGGATGATTTTAATGAAAAGTACAAGTGCCCCCAAGATTCTGATTTGCCTCTATGACATTGGCCATCATCTTGATTATCACTCAGAGGTGAAAGAAGAGAGAGAAAAGGAAAGAAAGAGATAGCACAAGTGGCACAGTGTTTATGCCAGAAAATGATGGTCCACTTCCCATCTGTGTTTCTGAAGTCTCTCCCTTCCCCACATAGTAACTGCTGGAACCTTCCTGAAAATTCCACTGACCAAAATATACACAAATATTTACTGGCATCTCATTAGGAATGTGTTCATTTTGGGCTTATTTCACTTAAATTTCTTGTTTTAATTTTCAGGAATTTTGCCCCTGGATTCTGAAGACCCTGGACTTTGTGAAGTTGTTAGAATACATGAACATTATTTGGGTATGTAGCAATTCAGTCTTTTGGAGGTCATATAAGTCTTCATTGGTGTATATGGTGTTTCATAACATTTTAATTTCTTTGAATCTACCATGAGTGGTGTATTTAACAAATAACTTTTTTTTTTTCCTTTTTGTCTTTTTTCGTGACCGGTAACGGGATCGCAACCCTCAGTGTCGCGCCCGCACCGCGCGCAACCAGTGAGCGGACCGGTCTCTATATGGGATCCGAACCCTCGGCGGGAGCACTGCCCGCTCCCAAGCACCGCACTCTACCGAGTGCGCCACCGGGCCGGCCCTAACAAATAACTTTTGGCTGGTCGTGTATGTAATAAATAACTGTTCACTGTTCATGTGAATACTTTTAGCTTATAATTAGTACCCATAAAATTCATATTAAGACTGAACAATACATATACCTATAAGTTTTACTAACACTGCTCATGGTGAGATTTTTGAAGAGTGGTTTCTCTTTGGTCTCTGAAATTATATCCCCAGTCAGAATTTTTTAATTTCTTACTCTTAATTATTAATTGAAACTGTACAAAATCTATACAATATATGTAGAATCTGAGACAGGAAAGAATCGAGAACACTCGTCTTTGATTTCTATTGCTAATATCTTTTGACCAGTGTTCAATTTAACTGAAATGTTCATTTTAATTTTTCTTATAATGATTTATTGTATATTTAAACTTAATAATAATTTTGTGAAGTGAAATACTATATAGTATTAAAAAATTTACAGTAATATTTACTGGCCTCTCATTAGGAATGTATTCATTTTTTACTTATTTCCCTTAAATTTCTTGTTTTAATTTTTAAGAATTTTGGCTAGGAATTTTTAGGAATATGTGTATACACATAATAATAATAATACATACATACACACACACTTCATGAAATTATAATTAGAAGATGCTTCATCTCCTAACTAATCAGGGAAAAGCAAATTAAACTACCTTAAGATACCATTATGCTCCCACGAGATTGACAAAAGTTAAAAAGTGTGACCACCCCAAGTGTTGGTAAGGATGTAGAGCAACAGAACCTTTTATGCACCAGCAGTGTAAGTTGGTACAAATGTTTTTTTTTTTTTTAAAAGATGACTGGTAAGGGGATCTTAACCCTTGACTTGGTGTTGTCAGCACCACGCTCACCCAGTGAGCAAACCGGCCATCCCTATATGGGATCCGAACCCGTGGCCTTGGTATTATCAGCACCGCACTCTCCCGAGTGAGCCACAGGCCGGCCCGGTACAAATGTTTTAGAAAATAATTTAGAATTATCTAATAAAGGAGGATGTGATCAGAGTGGACACACAGGGACTCCAGTGCTACTCCCTTGTATATTTCTTATACTGGGATTCATTTTGTTATTCTTCATACCATATCTCTAGCTGAAAATATATTCTTTTGTATTCTTGAGCTATTTCATTATAATTTTTCTCAGGCCTTTACTTAAATGATATAATCCCTCCTAATAAGACCCTTTGGAGACAGAGACCAATGTAGATTTTGGACTACCAAAAATAGTGAACGTAGTTCATATAGTAACTTGAACTAGGCTAGCAAATCTTTGTCATTTCATTTCCAAAACTATAAATTGCAGGTAATTTGTATTTAATTAATGACATTTACTGTGTCTAAAATTTCCAAGTAATACCATATTACTTTATTAAAAATTAACTTTCAGGGCCGGCCCGGTGGCGCACTGCTACAGTGCGCCGCTTGGGAAGTGCGCGGCACTCCCGCCGAGGGTTCGGATCCCACATACAGACCGGCCGCTCACTGGCTGAGCGAGGTGCGGGAGCAACACCGAGGGTTGCGATCCCGTAGCCGGTCCCGGTCCGGTACGGGCGCGACACTGAGGGTTGCGATCCGTTGCTGGTCACGAAAAAAAAAAAAAATTAACTTTCAAAAGATGGTTTTCCAGAAATCTGAGTCCTGTGTTTACTTATATGTAAATTAAGCTTCTCTATGGAACCAAGTTTGTGTCTTCCTTTGAAAGATAAAGATTTCTTTCAAATACCATGCAGTGAAAGCCCTCATTCATTGCTATTTTGATGTCGTGCAATTTGAAAATTGAGGACTGCCACTGGCTGTACAGGAAACTATACCATTTTTGGCCCCAGACTTTCCTTGGATGGCCCTCATTGCCCTGTTCTGAGAACTTTGTACATATGCAGTCAACTAAAATCTTTAATTTGGACTCCCAGACTTGAGTTTTGACTAAGTAAACTAAATTGCTATAGAAGGTGAACTATTAAAGCAAGAACCACATGTGGTGCTCATGATAACAAGGTGTAGGGTTTGAGCTGTGTTCCAGTCAGCCGTGAAAAAAATACATAAATACATAAAACAAACAAAACAAGGCCCATTCCATACACATTGCTGAACACTGGAGAATTGTAACATGGACCAGAAGGAGAAAAGCAAATTGAAACATCAGTTTCCTAGCTATAACGTTAAAGCTAAGACATGCAAACCACACAAATGACCTTTTATTGTCCCGATTTATTTGTAAACCAGGAGAAGGATGGATTATAGTCCAAAAATTCATCTAAGTATATAGAGGGAAAAATTGTAAATATTCCTTGAAAAAGAAAAAAACAAAACTTTTTTAAAAGATGTACTTTAAGAATGACCACTAACAGTGGGACCTTTAAGGTAGATCCTAGGCATACTGACTGCATCTATAAATGAAGCTGCTAGATAATCTCTAAGCTCTATTTGCAGCTCTGTTTCAGAACGTTTTGTGAAAGAGGAAATAATTTCACTATGTTCACTAAAACTTTGCAGCAGGAAATTTTCAGTTTACCACTATGTTTTAGTTCCTATTAATTCTTTGTCTGGTGATTGTTTAATGAGAGCTCAGCACTCAATCACCTTCCACTCAAATAAGTCTCTTCTTTCACCAAACCAAGAACTAGGGTCCAAACAACCTTCCAAAATGTGCTGTTAATCCTGTTGCAAAATATTGATGATACAGTTTTAAAATTGAGTAATTCTTCCAGCTTTTTTGCACCTTCAGTTCTTAAGCCATTCTGTCAAACATAAAAGTAATTTTATTTTTTATTCAAAATTTGGCACACATTTTCAGCATTGTTGTCCTTTTATTCCTTTGGACCTAATCTAGAAAGAAATGAAATAATTATTGGGTGCTGACATACTGTTATTATTGGTCCACACTTGGCTCTCTTTTATTTTCTGTTCAGTTTTTATAACATAATAAGCATCTGTTGACCACCTAACACAAAAGTGAGGATCTTGACATTATTCCACGTCTAACCATGCAGTTTTACAACCTTTGAAATCTTAAATGTAGTTTTCTTGTAGTTGGTGATTTTTTAGGACTGCGTGATTGATTTTTTTAATAAAAATATGGTAGTCCCAATTCCTATTATGGAAGATGTTTCCCAAAAAAGGCCAATAAGTAAATTGTATGTAGATTCAGCATGTACTGTTAAAATAGATGTGCTTTAGAGTCATACATTCACCTTATTAGCTATTTGGCCTTAGGCAAATTAATTACCCTGGACCCCATTTTATCAGTAAAACTGGGAGGTATCTTAAAGAATTTTGTAAGGAATAGAGTATTGTTTGTGCTGTCACTTGGAGCTCAGTATGCTTTTACTGTTTTAATTCCCTGCTTGTCTGCCTGAATTTTTTTTTTTTTTTTTTTTTTAAAGACCGATAAGGGGTTTTTAACCCTTGACTTGGTGTTGTCAGCACCACGCTCAGCCAGTGAGCGAACCGGCCATCCCTATATGGGATCCGAACCCGCAGCCCTGGTGCTATCAGCACCACACTCTCCCGAGTGAGCCACAGGGCGGCCCCTGCCTGAATATTTTTGAAATGTATTCTTGAATGCTCTTCTTCCCCACTAGATGGCACTAGTTAGTTGCTAAATGCAGTGCTGACTGCCCTGTGGCTAGTCCACCTGAATCTATCTATTGCTATTAGAGGAGACATATCAGAAAGAACTGGTAAAGACTGAAAAGTGTTATAAGTTGATTTTAGGTAAAATGAGAAAGGATTTTTTGTAATGTGAAAAAAACCACAGTGTACAACATAAAGTAAAGATTAAGTGGTAAAACATACTAAGGAACAGCTTAATGGTTAGATCATGTGGAGCTTTTTAAACCAAATTAGAAGATTGTGTTTTGTACCAATTGCAGTTAAAGCCACTGATGAATTTTAAACAGAGAAGTGTTAAGGTGTTATTTATGTTTTCAAAATAACATTTGCATACTTTTACTTTTTCAAATACACCATTAAAGAGATTGAAAAGAGAAGCCATAAAGTTGAAAATAATATTTACAGCACATAAACAGGCAAATGATTCATCTAGAATATATAAGAATTCTTATATATCAATAAATAAGAAAAAGACAAAACAATAGAAAAATTGATAAAGATATGGTCACTTCACAAAAGGAATTCCAGATGGCTAGCAGACATGGATAGATGCTCAGCCTTATTAGAAGTTAGGGAAAAGCAAATTAAAATCACAGTAAGAAACCATTACACACCCACATAACTGGTAAAAGTGTATAAATCTGATAATATCAAGGGTGACAAGGACATTCACAACACCAAGATGCTGATGGTAGGAGAGTAAATTAATACAACCACTTTGGAATTATGTAAAGTCAAAGGTAGTATACATATACCCTGGGACCTAATATTTCCACTCCAAAACAAATATCCTTGAGAAAACTATGCATACTATAATACTATCTTTTATACTAGAACATTCTTAGCAGCATTGTTTGTAACTGCCAAAAACTTGAGAACATAAATTCTCATTAGCTGGACAATAATCAATCGAAGGTGTTTCCACATAGTGGAATACCATAAAACAACAAAAATTAAAGCACTACAACAGCCTCACGTGCAAAAAAGATATGTCTTAAAAACATAATGTGGAACATAAGAAGCAAGATACAAGAGGATGCATATGGTACAGTTCCAAAGCCATGTTTCTGAATGTGGCCCTCCATCCTTGAAATTATGTGCTGTGGACAGACTGAGTGAGAGCATATGACACATGCAATTTCCCACCACGTCTTCTGAAGAAGAAACTCAGTCAAATATTTCCCCTACTAAACTTCCCCTGTTTTCTCTTTGTCTGTTAGATTACATTTAAAAATCTAAAACAATACTAAAGACTTATACTTTATTAAACAATCTGTAAAATAAATTAGATGTGGCCTGTGCTCTGCATCTGTAAACCCATTGCAGAAATGGAGAGAAATAAACAGGTTGAGGAGGCAGGACTAATGGGACTTGCTAACACATTGTTTCCTCTTGTTCTTTGTCATAGTTCATAAACCAGAAAAGGTTACTTGGACAGAAGCAGCTGGAACCATTCGGGATGGAGTACGAGCCTATACAGCTCTCCATTATCTTTCTCATCTCTCTCCTGGAAAATCGGTACTGATAATGGATGGGGCAAGTGTAGGTATCAATGGTTTTGTTAAGAAATAGATCAACATACAGTAAACTTAGGGAATTTAGGAATAAGTGATCCATTTGCTAATATAATTTTTTGCCAATACCTGATTCGCTGATTGCTTTACCAACCTCCCGTTTTGTTACAATAAGCAGCTTTTATCAATAGGAGATAAAAATTAGATTTAGTGTGACTAGTGTCTTATTGCTTTGAATCTGCTGGAACATTAAAGACAAGCTATTTTTATTCATTCCTGTTACATGAAGACTAAAATAGCTCATGAGTCTGTGAAGTCCTATTCCAGAACTCCCTACCAGTTTTGTATTATGTCCCACACACTTTAACTTATTTTAATAAAGTGTTGCCATTTTATAGATGGATCACACACAAGAATAAAATGTGCTCATTTAGACATATAATGTGTATCATCAAAAAAAATAGTTCAAGACACTAAAAGAATACATAAAAATATTTTCAAAAGATGTTATGTATATAATACTTGGGATGAATTCATAGTTTTATTTTCTATCTGACTATTGACAAAAATGCTTTTCCCCCTGCATTTATTTGAAAAAAAAAAAGCAGAACTATCTTCAGCATTGACTTCAACCTGATTTCAAACATCAGTGTACTAGTGTTTCTCGGAACTTACCCCCCGGGTCCAAAAAGACAGAAATTTTGATGTGCTTTGATGTTCAAAGAGAAGTAGCTGGACTCCCATATGTACTATACGAGGGTACATCAAGCAGTTTGTGGAAAAATAAAATTAAAAGATAACACAAATCTTTCCAAGAACTTTTTGAAGTACCCTCATATAATTAGCCTAGACCATCATGTTGGCAAGGCCCTAACTCAATTTCTTATTCATTCAAGTATGCATTCCTAAACAGTATCATTTAGTTTTGCCTGGTTTTGAATTTTATCTAAATGGAACTGTACCAAAGCCATGTTTCTGAATGTGGCCCTCCATCCTTGAAATTTTGTGCTGTGGGCAGACTGAGTGAGAGCATATGACACCCAGCTTTTCTACTACACCTTCCGAAGAAGAAACTCAATCAAATATTTCCCCTACTAAACTTCTCTGTATTTTTCTCTTTGTCTGTTAGATAACATTTAAAAATCTACTAAAGTAACACTAGAGACTTACACTTTACTAAGCAATCTATAGAATAAATTAAATATGGCCTCTGCCCTATATCTATAAACCCATTGTATATTTTTTCCATCCACACAGGCATTTGGTACAATAGCTATTCAATTAGCACACCATAGAGGAGCCAAAGTGATTTCAACTGCATGCAGCCTTGAAGATAAGCAATACCTTGAAAGACTTAGGCCTTCCGTAGGTGGGTGATATTACTCAGCACAAACTTTAAACGTGGAAGTTTGAAGGGTAATTGCCTTAAAAACTGCACTTGTAAAAAACAATGTACAAAATCCCAAATGAAAGTCAATTTTAAAATGCACCTAATATCTGTGCCAAGTCCAAATTTACTTACATGACAGTTGTTATTTTAATTAAGTTTTTTAAGCCTGTACCTTTCAATGTTTCTTCTTCTTTGCCCCATTGTTATCAACTTATCCAGGTTTGAATTAGGTGAACTTTGACACAGTTTAGAAATATCTGATGCCTTTTTGGTTTTAGTCAATAAATCATATATTCTTGCATCACTTTGTACGTTTCTCACCCTCTTTTATGCCATGATATATCTTTAAAGTTGTCTATTTTCTGTGATACACTACGAAGAGAGATGATCCATTTACACGGGAACATAGGTCAGATATAATTTATGATGAACAGGATGTGCTGGAGGCCAATGAGCTCTTGAAAGGATTGAACCTATCCAAACAGCAACCAATATGGAGAGGAGGAAGAAAATAGAGAATGAAAAAAATGAAAAAGGAGAAGAGAAAGATAGGAACAGAAAAATTACAGATGAAGAGCAAAGAGGTTGAGCAGAGTATAAGTGAAGGGTTAGGCAGGAAGGAAAGTAATATTCATTGAGGGTTAATATGGCTGTTACCTCCTTAAGTCCTCAACAGCCCTGTGTTGGCCAACCAGGAAACAGCATCTCACAGAAATTAACTAGCTTGTTCAAGGATACACAACTAGGAAAAAGACTGGAATGTGATTTGAATTCAGGCCTATCTAACATTAAGTTCCATGTTATTTCCATTGTTTCATTATGCTTCTGGCAGAGATAACCAAGAAATGGAGGAGACAGGGACTAGAGAAAGAAGGAAAAAAGGATAAAGAAGAGATTTGAAAATAGGGTGTGGAAAGAGAGCATAAAGGGTATTGTTGAAGGGAAAGTTTTCTTATTGGTTAATTCTGCCCTTCCTAGCTTGCTTTAGTCCCTTTTCCCTTGTGTCCTCTTCTTCCCTGCCTCCCCTTACCCCTACCAAATCCTCAATTATTATTGGACTACAGCTGTAATCTGAGCAGCTCTGAAAGGAATTCTCTTCAGCAAGGTGTCAAAAAATGTTGTATAGGAACAAAAAATACAAAGAAAAAAATATAAAAATGAACTATAAACATGTCTGCATTTCAGGTTCAAATTCTGAAAATTTTTTAAAATAATTTTTAAAATAAGCTCTCAATAGTTTCAATTGTTTTATTAATGTAATATTAATATAATACTTTAAAGTAACCAGCTAAAATTAGTTTAAATTTCACTAACTCTTTTTATTTTTTTTTTCTTTTTTGTCTTTTTTACTGACCGGTAACGGGATCTCAACCCTCGGTGCCGCGCCCGTACTGGGGACCGGCAACAGGATCGCAACCCTCGGTGCCATGCCCGCACCACGCTCAGCCAGTGAGCGGGAACCGGTCTCCACATGGGATCCGAACCCTCGGCGGGAGCGCCGCTGCACTCCCAAGTGGCGTACTTCTCCAGTGCGCCACCGGGCCGGCCCTAAATTTCACTAACTCTTAACAATCATCTTCCTTTTCTTTACCTTCAGGATTTTTCTTCATTTGGGGGAGCGTGGGGAGTAGTAGGGGGTATTTCTATGACTGAGAAAGGATAAAACAGCCTCTGGGAGATAGGTACCATATTGCACAAATACATTTTTGTACTTTTTAGCTCTAAACACTATTAAATCTGAACATACTTAAGAACCTGCGTAATCTTCCAGCTCATGTCTTGTTATGTATGTACCTCTGTGTTTTCAAATTCTCGGTTCTGGCAACATATCTTATAGCTATAGGGAACAGTCTTCTGCATCAACAAACCAGCCTTGGATCACCATACCCACAAAATGCTCACAGTTTTGTTTTATTGAACATACCTGGCTCTTCATTTGATCCTTACTAATATTGGGTTAGATGAGAAAAAGTATAATTTGAATTGACTTTTTCCCTTTTAAATTCAGTAATTGTTGAACTGTTTAACTCATTTTAGACAACAGATATTTATTGCTTTTCTTTTTCTTTTTCCCTGATTTGTTTGTGTTAATCACATAGAGAACAGTACAATTGCCTGATTTCCTGTCCTTTACAGCCCGAGTGATTGATATATCTAATGGGAAAGTCCATGTTGCTGAAAGCTGTTTGGAAGAAACAGGTGGCCTAGGAGTAGATATTGTCCTAGATGCTGGAGGTGGGTACCTTATAAAATCAGTAGTCTATATAATTTTTTTAGTTTGGTGAATTTCAGGAAAAAAATCTAACCAGGGAATAATTATTAATGCATTTATTAAGTTGGATGTTTGGTTTTGGGTTTGTTTTTTTTTTTTCCTTTTTGTCTTTTTTTGTGACCAGTAACGGGATTGCAACCCTCGGTGTCGCGCCCGTACCGCGACCGGCAACGGGATCGCAACCCTCGGTGTCGCGCCCACACCGCGCTCAACCAGTGAGCGGACCGGTCTCTATATGGGATCCGAACCCTCGGTGGGAGCGCCGCCGCGCTCCCAAGCGCCGCGCTCTACCGACTGTGCCACCGGACCGGCCCTGGGTTTTGTTTTTAACTAAAGACTTGTCTACTTAAATTGGTGCTTCCTCACGTTATTCCCATTTAAGCACAGTCTCACTGGAAGAGAGAACATGCTTACCTTTTAAAGCATAGGCATTGAAATTTAAGTAACAAATGACATCAATATAAGAAATCTATAAACACGATCTCCTCAGTGGTTTCCAGATAATAGACATTATTGTCTACATGCTTATTCAGTCAGTTCTGTTCATATGTGGTTGCCCTCTGTTGAGTGGTTGACTTCTGCAGTCTCTATTTGGAAAACTTACAGAAGTTTGTTCCATTTTCACTTTTCTTGAGCTTTTTTAGTTGAACCAATATCTATTTAACACCTAAACTGTGCACCCTTAAGGTAGTAAGTAACATCATTCCTTAAAGCAAAAGTTTTACAAGCCTGCAAAGTGCTCCTATTTATAATTTGTTAGAATTTGTCTTCTATCATGAGATGCATAAGTAAATACAGCTATGGTCATTGTGTCTCTTTAACCAGTATTTTCAAGATGTGAAATTAACTCAGAGAAAAATCTTTCAGTGGAAGTGAATATACTTCATTGAGGTCATTTTTTCAAATAGACATTTCAATAATTGTCAAAGTATGACTATTTTGAGTTCATGACTTTAACCAGAAATCAATTTATACCAATGTATTAAGCAATCAATGTTATGATTAAAATTATCAGGCTTCGTTATGTGTTACATTACCTTGCCAGGTTTGTAAGTGAAAATAGACTTTTTATCTTTATTTATTTCACTTATAATTAAATCTAAAGTAAATCTTATGACTAGTTTTAATGCAAAAAGTATATTTTAAGGTATCTGAATATACTGTGTTGCCTTTTTCTAAGAAAAATCCTTCCTTTAAATGCTTCTATTAAAAAGTAAAGAGAACTTGTTTGAAGAATACATTTTTGTCAAATTATTATAAAATATATTTCTTCTCTCTCTTTCTTTTCTTAAAACTATTCCTTGTAAGTGAGATTATATAGCAAAGATGATGAACCAGCTGTAAAATTACAACTACTACCACATAAACATGATATCATCACACTTCTTGGTGTTGGAGGCCATTGGGTAACAACAGAAGAAAATCTTCAGGTATAATCAAAAACAATAATTCATTACCATTACTCCGAATGGATCTATTTAACAAAGAATAATGCCTAGAAGTCTTTTTTGAGGCAAAGTATGGCTAAATTAATATAAATTCTGAATTATACCCTATGTTTAAAGAAGCATAGCTTTTTTTTACATTAGCAACATGTTGAACAAAATGTTGAAATACTGCCTAGTAGAGGAGTTTGTTCAACTAGAATGAATTACAGTTTTATTTAGTGATTTGCAAGAAGTAACTTCTGAATATTTCAATTGTATTTCAAATAGCATTTTTTTCTTAGTAATAAACATTATTGTTGACATATACTTGGCAAAATATTTCTGTATCAAATTATCACAATTCTCTATGCAAATTGGATTTATTATATATGTATATATATGTTATTTCCCAAAGTTATATTCTTCAGCAGAATTCTAATTAAATATTTATATCATGGCTGATATGCTCATACCATAATTCTAATATACCAATCTTCATTGATTTTCCAACATCCTCATGGAGATAACTGGTAGTAGTAGCCAAAAACAATGCCTGCTCACACACCCCACCACTTTATTGCCAAGATTCTAGATTGGCCTTGTATCTGCCCTATAATTACCACTTTGCTTTTTCATCATTTGTACCATGAAATAGAAAAGAAAACATTATAGTTTCCATGTTGTTGTTAAAGTTTTTGTGCTGATTATTTATGATTTGGACATGATTTAATCTGTGTAGAAGTTTTTCTGGCTCAAGATACAAATCATCATTTTGCTGTTAAAATCACAGTAATTGATCAGTCTTTGTTTATTTTATCCAAGTTGGATCCTCCAGATAGCCATTGGCTTTTCCTCAAGGGAGCAACAGTGGCTTTCCTTAATGACGAAATTTGGAATTTGTCAAATGTACAACAGGGAAAATATCTTTATATCCTTTTTTTCTACTGACTTGAGTTTTTGGCTTGAAATTTACATTGTATTCTACTCATAAGTTTTTTCATTATGATAATAAGAAATAATAATAATAATAGTAGCAGTTAACTTTGATTGAGTATGCCAAACAATGTCTCAAGTGTCTTGCAGGAACTAATTCCTTTAAACATTAAAATAATTATCCCTACTTTACAGGTGAAGAAACTAAAGCATAGAGAGGTTAATATATGCCCAAGGAGGCAGCTAACAAGTGGCCGAACAACAATCACACCCAGGCAGTCTGTTCCTTTCTGAATAGGAGATAAACGATAAGATACAGGAAAGGTTTTGTTTTGTTTGTAACCTGACATTAGGGAAATCACACAGGTCACCTTGTGAGGTTGCATTCTTAATCCCATTATGGTGCTGTTGCACAAGCATTTCAGAATGCTTATCTAAATTAAAGAGTTTGTGGAGTGTTTTTATAAATATCAGTGCTAGGAACTCTTCATCAAATGAGGATGGGTTTGATTTTTAAAAACAAATCATTCAGAGACAAATCTGGTGAATGAACCCAGATCATTCCAGTTTTGGTAAAAGTAATTAAAAGTTTTCCTATGAGAATATGGAAGCAATTCCAAAATGAAGGGTCCAAACCTCTAAACCCTGGCTCTAGAGACAACACCATGCTCAGCCAGTGAGCGCACTGGCCATCCCTATATAGGATCCGAACCTGCGGCCTCGGCGCTACCAGCACCACACTCTCCCGAGTGAGCCACGGGGCTGGCCCCTAAGATGACTGTTTTAAAGGCAGTTACACTTGATAAATGTTATATTGGATGAAAAATAAGTTCTCATTACTTGATAGAGTATGTGTGTGTGTGTGAAGAAAGAGATTTGCATAGCCTTACATTTATCTTCACTGAATATTATACTTTACTTTTGTTAAATGTGTGTAGTTATATATAGGTGATGTGTACAAAGGCCAACACCCTTTGGGAGCAATGACAGACTTAATTCAAAGCTTTGAAATAGTAATGTGTAATTAGTTTACTGCATGTGTTGAGTTTTTTTTTTTTTGTTTTTTTTTTAATAAAGATGACCAGTAAGGGGATCTTAACCCTTGACTTGGTGCTGTCAGCACCACGCTCACCCAGTGAGCGAACCGGCCATCCCTATATAGGACCCGAACCCGCAGCCTTGGTGTTATCAGCACCGCACTCTCCCGAGTGAGCCACGGGCCGGCCCTGCATGTGTTGAGTTTTAAGGAGATTTCAAAACCCTTCTATGTAGTGAGTGTGAGTTTAAAGTATTTACTTTATTTTTTTTAAGGCTAGTCAAAAGTTGAAAGAAGGTATTTCTGACTAAATATTTTCCTAGTAACTTTGGAAAATAAGCCTTTTTTTTGTTTTGGTAACAGAGATCGAACCCTGGACCTTGGTGTTATCAATACCGTACTCTAACCAACTGTGCTAACCAGGAAGTCCAGAAAATAAGCTTTTAACTTTCTAAAATAATTTTTAATTAACTTCATTTTAAAAAAACTTAAACGTTGGGCCGGCCCGGTGGCGCCCTGCTACGGTGCGCCGCTTGGGAGCGCGGCGGCGCTCCCGCCGAGGGGTCGGATCCCACATACAGACCGGTTCCCGCTCACTGGCTGAGCGAGGGGCGGGCGCAGCACCGAGGGTTGTGATCCCGTTTCCGGTCCCAGGCCGGTGCGGGCGCGACACTGAGGGTTGCGGTCCGTTGCCGGACACGAAAAAAGACAAAAAGGAAAAAAAAAAAACTTAAATGTCCAGTAACATTGGAATTATCAAGAATAACATGGATTAGGGCCGGCCCGGTGGCGCCCTGCTACGGTGCGCCGCTTGGGAGCGCGGCGGCGCTCCCGCCGAGGGGTCGGATCCCACATACAGACCGGTTCCCGCTCACTGGCTGAGCGAGGTGCGGGAGCAATGCCGAGGGTTGCGATCCGTTGCCGGTCACGAAAAAAGACAAAAAAAAAAAAAAAGAATAACATGGATTAAAAAGAAGAAAATAAAATTTCAGCTTGAGTGTTGTATACAGTAAAAAAAAAAAAAAGAACGGGGGATGCTAACAGTAGAGAATACCATGTAGCTGTTAAAAGTAACATTGGTTTGTATGTTTTGAATCTTACATGTTGGAAGCTAGGCTGACTGTTTTGCCTGTGTTATGTAACTTAATTCTCTCCAAGCCTCCCTCTCAATAAGGTGATTTTAACCTATTTGACAGATTCCTAGACCTGACTGAAACATGACATGTTTATATTTAATAATGTTATACCAAAATCAGACATACAAACTATACACACTCACACACATAAATGGCAATTTCATTAACAGAGGTAGAGAGAGAACTTGTAGGGATGTGAATATGTGAATTAATATTCTTTAGTTACTTTTTAATAATTTTTATGGGCTGGCCAGTTAGCTCAGTTGGTTAAGTTTTGAATCTGACTTTCATCCTCACTTGTGCAAACCCCTCTCATTCAGTTCACACGAGTAGTTGCTGCTTGTGGTTTAACATAGATAAGTCCTTCCAACTGTGTGATTCTATGCCATAAATAATTCTACAGTACTAGTAATTACATAAATTCTTGATCTCAATATCATAATTTCAATTAAATTACCAAGATAGATTTTTTTCTTAATTTTTACATCATTTTCTGATTCTGTTAGTGACATATATCAAATACACACACAATCTAACATTTCTGCAAACAAATTTTGAGCCTGTTATCGACCAGATTAGTCAATAAATGTGCACCTAAAGTAAGAGTTTAAGTGCTGAAATTGTTTTTAACTAAAAATGCCATTCATAGTGCAGAAATGAAAACTAGACACTATTCCATTTACCATCCATTGAGATAATGGTGGTCACACTTAAGACACTGGGCTTGCTGCTGTCATCACTTGTCCTTAGAATTTGGCTCTATTATACCACCAACTCTCTCAAATTATTTCCCTGTTTGAGAGGTAAACTTGACAGCTTATAGAATTTCTGTAACTTAATATTTTGAATTTCCGAGAGTGTAATACTTTTTTAAAGAAGTGATCTGCCTAGCATCTTCTGCTTATTGAATGATTTTATTTAATCTTTCATCCTTTTCATTGCCACCTTAACAATCCTTCCAGCTACGTATCTTAAAAGATGTGATGGAGAAGTTATCAACTGGTGTTTTTAGGTACGATAAAGTAACCAAATCATTGTTTTTGTTTATTTTTCTATTCTGAAGAAGACAAAGGCAGGAATTTCCATTTGTATTTTTTATATTTTACAGTATACCTATCACCTCCATATTATTTAGTTTAGATAAATAGTTGCTCTTTAATGTTTCTCAAAGTGTATCTGGTGGTTCAACAGTAAGTAGCCCCAAAGATAGAAGTGGATTGTGAATTTTCCTCACTCCTTTCCATTCTATACCTCACTTTTTTCTTTTCCTCATCACACCCCTCCCAGAGCAAACCGAAATAACTAACTCATAGCTTGAGAAGAGAGAAAAGTACGATTTTTTTTTTAAGTTGGATATGTTTATCATAGGGAGTGGATAAAGCAGCTATTTTTTTCCCTTCAAAATTCAACCACTTTTAATAGTAGAAACACTAATGGACAAGTTTGTTTCAAGTAAGAAAGTAATAGAATTGAGTTATAACAATAGTCGGCTACCATCCTATGCATTCCACTCATCTTTAAGTAGACCTGACATTTCTAATAATTTCATTCTTCCTCAGACCTCAGTTGGATGAACCCATTCTACTATATGAGGCAAAAGTTTCCATGGAAGTTGTTCAGAAAAATCAAGGAAGAAAAAAGCAAGTTGTTCAATTTTAATTTTCATCTTTCTCAGACCTCAGTTGGATGAACCCATCCCAGTATTTGAAGCCAGAGTTTTCCCTGGAAATTGCTGAGAAAAACCAAGGAAGATACAAGCAAGTTGTTCTGTTTTTAAGCATGTTTTCCTGCTGTCTAAAAGAAGATGCCCAGTTATTTGACGTATTTGAAAAGAATCACTGTGTAAACTATCAAGATAATTTTATAATTAACATCTAAAGGGAATATTCTTTTTATTATTTATATACATTTTGCCTCTGCTATAAAATTCTTTCCATGAAGAAAACTACCGCATCCAGCAAAAGCCATACTAGTTTACTGATAAAGCTCTTTATAGGCCTTTGCTATACTGTCAAAATAACGTTATTAATTTTGTATCATTCCCATTCTCAACACCTTCCTTCTTTAGCAAGGCTTTGCTGTCATAATGTAAGCATTTGAGAATATTTTCAAGTCTCAGAGGACCTAGCCCATAGCCACTTAAATTTTGTGTTTTCAAATATTCATTCACTCAGGGTTTCCCCAAAATCAAACAAGAGGATCACAGAGTAACTCGTCAGTGGCAGTTGCAGTGTTTGCGTGGAGAGCCGGGATGGCCAGGAATTGGGGAGTGGAGGGTTGTCCGGAGGCTGCACTGGCATAGCAAGCATGCTGATTTCTAATCTGGGGATTGGGGGGAAGAGGCCCAGGGCCCTCTCGCTACCTCTTGACGTTGCTACTGCGCTCTGTAAATTATTGAAGCAGCAGCCCGCCGCCGCAGCTCAGGTACGATGTTTCCTTTTCATCCAGGCGCCATGCCCTGGGCTGATCACATCCCTGCTGCGGACTTAAATGGCGTTCAACTATCTCCGAGCCCAACAGGGTACTGTACACCGATGCCCTGGACCGCGTACTTCACAGCGTCATGACACCTGGCGACTGGACTAAGGCCAAGGACCGGCAGGAGCGCCTGGGGCACCCCTGAGCCAGGGGGCGGTGACTGCCTCGGAGGAGCGCAGCCGAGGGCGGGGCCTCCCGGCCGGGCCAATGCGCACGCTCCGCGAGGCGCCACGTCGGGGGCGGGGCCGGCGCGCGCGGGAAGTGCCTGCGGGGCGGCCGGCGGTTCGTGCCCGGCAACCGAGGGGCCCTTGTCTTTCGTGCTCGGCCCAGCCGTGAAGTAGGGATGGAAAGTTCTCGCGTTCCAGGCAAGGAAGTGGGCGCGAAGTTTGAGCCGCCTGTGGCCTTGGGGTGCCCTGCATTGGGAGCGGCTTCTCTTGAAAGTCTGGTTCGTGGGAAGGGCGCTCCGCGAGCTACCCCGCTGCGGGGATGTGCTCACCTGGGCCGGACGTGTCGAGTCCTGAGGGAAATGAAGGACGCCGGGGCGCGCCACCCCCTCCGAGGTTCGGCTCGGAGCCCTCCTTTAGAGGCCTTAGAGATAAGTTGGAGGATAGCTCCAAAAATCATCAGAACAGCCATCCTGGAAGGCGGCTGTTCGGTAAGGAAGATTACGAGACCCTGCTTTTCCACTATGATTCAGGGCCTCCCTTCTCTCACGTACTCAGTTATTCTGGGGATGGAGGAATGTTGAGGATTCATGGAGACAATTTTTTAAACCTCAGTTTCTAGATTCTAATCAAGAAAATGACTTGCTATGGGAAGAGACGTTTCTTGAAAGAACAACCGTAACTGAACCACCACAGGTAATACTTCTAAAATATCATTAGAATGTGTTTTCTTATAAATTCATACTTCTCAGAAGCATCTTGCCTGGAAAATAGTTTCACAGAGAGGCTTGAGAGTGATCATCTCTACCAGAGTTGAAAAGATGTCAGCAGTCAATGTAAATGCCTTCGTATGATATAGTAATGATGTCTTCAATAGCACGGAGCACTAAAGTAGACATAGTAGATGTGGGTTTTTCCTTCTACCTCCAACAGTTTTTAAAAATTTTCCTTGGATAGTGACGCCTCCAGCTCATCACTCAGAGCCAGCCCCTTCAGGCTACTTTTTGAACTTAGTCCTTTATCACATCTTCAAACCATATCCCCAAATTCACCTCCACAGGTTGTGACATAGCACCAAACCTCGCTGCCGCCCCTTCCCCAACACACACACACTCTCACTCTCTCACTCTCACTCCCCAAGTACTTCTGTTTTGGTAGTTTGAGAAATACATAGTTTGTCCATTTGTCCTAATGAGAACAGGCTAGAAGAGTTCCCCAAGATCCAGTCTCCCTTCCTTGTAAATAAATGGCTTCCATATGGTCTATTAGAGATAGTTGCCCTTTCTGATGTTTTGATGATGTCACCAGAAAGAATCCTTGTAATGTAGAGGATATTGACTTAAAAGGACAACAAAACAGGTTGTGGGAAAATTTTTGAGGTCAGGAAATGTTTCTAAGTTACCTGCAGGAGGAGCAGCTTGATCTTGGTTCAATAGTTTTTGAGGCTTAAAAGGTGCTTTTTTAAGTATTTGGAAGATTTCTACTTTGATAGTAACATCTGTAGTACTATAAAGAACTGTGTAAACTAAAAAGTGAAATCTGTTTCTCTGCCAGCACCACCCCCAACAAGAATTCCCACTTCCCAGAGGTAACCACTGTGAACCGTTTAGTATAGCTCCTTGCAGACTTTTTGACACTGTGTAGTATATTTTTAACGTCATTTATCATACAGTTCCAATAATTTTGACATTTTAACGATCATGAGTATGTTAATTGATAAAAATACTTAGGTTGAAGTTTTTTTCCTTGATTTTCTGTTAATTTTTGTGTTCTTTGTTTTCTTAAGACTCCACACACATCATTTTCTGAATCTGATATTCCACCCTCAGAAAGTACTGAGTTACCTGTAGACTGGAGTATTAAAACTCGACTTCTTTTCACCTCTTCTCAACCCTTTACCTGGGCTGATCATTTGAAAGCACAGGAAGAGGCCCAAGGTCTTGTCCAGCATTGTAGGGCAACAGAAGTTACTTTGCCTCAAAGTATACAGGTAATTCTGAAATAAATAGCCATGTTTTAAAGTAATAAGTGGAAAATGGCATTCTCTCTAAAATATCGAGACATTTCCTTTCATTAAGTTTTTCTTCCCTGTACTGGCCAGCTGCCCAAAAAAAAAAAAAAAAAGTTTTCCTTCTGACATTTAAAGACACAAGGATGGGAAGTTTTGTTTTTCCCAGATAGTATTTTTATACAGTTTTTTTTTATCTGATTGAGTAACTGCCCTTTAAATTTAGAGATTTAATTCTCAGGAGTCCTAAGAATTAATCAGTGTTGCAGGCAGGTATTGTTTGAACTAAATAATTGTTCTCTAAGGCTCTTTGGGACAGAAAAATAAGGAAAAGAAAAGAAAAGCAATTGAGTAGGATTGCAAAAGCAGATGGATTTTATTTTCTTATGTAGTATATATTCTGCTTTTTATATGCACCGATTCTTGCTACCTGGGTAATGGTTTGTTGTAAATTTAGTGGGATTAATGAGTTTCAGAATGGTTTTAGAGAAATACAGTTATATTTCTGTACATTGAAGCATCTCATCAACTCAAACTTGGTTTAAAACGATAACTTTAAGGAGGTGTTAGTACATACATCTTTACCAATAAATGAATCTGGATTTGTGTCTTATCAGTGTTTACTGGCTACTTTTTGAAAGTGTTTTTGTGGGGGGAGGGCATGTGAATATAGTGTTACCTACACATACTCCTACCCCTCATTATATCATTATAAAAAAGATAGTTGTCGTTCTTAAAGATGATAGAGACAAAAGAGTGATCCCATCATCTGTTTGTTTTTCTTCTGACATACGTTTTAACAGAGCATAATTGCTGTCCAGAAAGGTTTTCCCAAACAAGGATAAATTTCATTTTAGCCTCGTAACAGTTATTAATGCTCTCCTATAGAAAGCAATATTCTTTGATGAAGTATTTGGTATATTCATTGTCTCATTAATGAAATTCTCATTTTTCATGGGACTAAAACCACCCACTATCACCTCTGGATTTTAGGATCCCAAACTCTCCACTGAGCTCAGATGTGCCTTCCAGCAGAGCCTTATCTATTGGCTCCACCCTGCCTTGTCTTGGCTACCACTGTTCCCTCGTATTGGAGCTGATAGAAAAATGGTTGGAAAAACAAGCCCTTGGGCATATGATGAAACCATGCAACACGGTTTAATGAGTGACTGGTAAGATAAGTAAAAAAATTGTGCGATCCATTGTGAATTTTTATTTTAGCAGTTTTCTCTCCTTACTGTATTTGTGATGTGGAAATATATAGTAGTAGAAGGACCTCTGTGTCCTTCTGAATTTCATCTAAAACCTAATAACCAACATTTAAACTGTTTACTTTCTTTTTAGCTCTTACTCACTTTTTATCCAGTTATGGAAGGTATATATGTTTGATAAATATATAGAGACATAATTCTTTAATGTTACTTCTTGTCAATAGCTGCTTCCATTCTCAGCAGAAGTTGCTGAAAGTCAGCAACCAATTATCAGTTAAGTTTTGTTTAAAGAAAAAATAGTATTTAAGTGGTAAGCATTATTTGTTAAAGTGTTGAGGAGTCATCACCTATTTTAGTGTCATCACCCATTACCTATTTTAGTCCTTTAAAGGCAAGTTGTATGTAATCTCAAAAATTCAAACCAGTATCTAAAATACTTGTGTTGTGTTTTAAACCAGGTGAGTATAAAACTACAAAATCAAATTTTAGTTGTTAAATGTTTAATAATACCTGAAGAAAATCTTTTTTGCTCTGTAGGTCTGTAAGCTTTGCTTCTCTGTATAATCTGCTGAAGACAAAACTTTGCCCCTATTTCTACGTTTGTACCTATCAGTTTACTGTCCTGTTCCGAGCAGCAGGATTAGCAGGAAATGATGTAGTCACGGCTGTCATATCTCCTACGACTAGAGGTTTAAGAGAAGCTATGAAAAATGAAGGTAAAAGTTTAGATTTAAAATGAAAATACACCACTATATAGTAAACACTTGCCTTAAAAGCTGAAATTTAAATTGTCTTTTACCAGTTGATTACCATTTGATTTTCTGTTATTTTAGAAAATGTATTATTTCTTCATTTCTATTTCTTTTTCCTGCAGTTATTTAAACTGTCTTATACATAGCTTTAAGTTCATGGTGTTTCCATCTCTGATCTCTAAAGTAAAACACATATTGGGCCAGAAAGTCACTACCTGAATATACTCTTATAGAAGCTCTTTTACAATACAAAACTACCTACCCACTTAATAACATGACTGTCTAACTGGGTCAGTCCATTAGTAGATTATTAAATCTACAAGAATACTTTTAAAAGTTTGTGGAAAAATTGAATTAATAGATAATATGAATCCTTCCATGAACTTTTTGAAGATCCCTTGTATTTAGTGGGCCCAATTAGCACTTTTTAAAAAAATGAACCAGAATACAGTATAATTTATGAGACATGTAGAATGTATTGTTTCCTGAACCTTTTGTTTCAGGGAGATATTTGTATGTTTATATGTCACACTGCTATCAAGAAAGCTTGAAAACTACTGCCTTAATAGATCAAGTGTAAAAACTCACATTTCAAATTTCATATACTTTAAAAGTAGGCACACCTGTTAAGTACTTTCAGAATAAAGAAAACTCAGTTACATTTTTCTTTTCTCATCTAGGTATCGAATTTTCTTTACCTTTAATAAAAGAAAATGGCCATAAGAAGAAAACAGTTGGAATAAGCATGGAACACAGGGAGTATGTGATTAAAATAACCTTTTACATCATCCAGTGACTTATGGACTCTGTGAAATAGATTTGTAGAGGTAACAGGTTTGTGAAATGGGAACTCTAACTATAGCAATTTCCTAGGGAGCAAGCAATCAGTGATGAGGATGAAGAGGAAAGTTTTTCTTGGCTGGAAGAGATGGGTGTGCAAGATAAAATTAAAAAGCCAGACATACACTCTATCAAGCTGTATCCTTTCAGTTGCTGTTAACTAGAACTAATTTTGACTGAATTAAGTTAGTGAGCAATTCCTAACATTGACTGGCAATTTTATATATGTGACTGTAATCTTAAATTATCCTCAGAACATATTAAAACTAATTCTCCATTATGATGTTAAATAACAAGCCCCTAATTATCAATAAACTGAACTATGAAGTTTTTTTCTTTTTCAGTGAAAACATTCCAGTTTGGTTAACTTTGTAAGAGAACCTATTTTTTTTTTTTTTTCTGACCGGTAAGGGGATAGCAACCCTCGGCACAGTGATGTCTGCACCACGCTCAGCCAGTGAACACACCAGCCATCCCTATATCGGATCCGAACCCACGGCCTTGGCGCTACCAGCGCCACACTCTCCTGAATGAGCCACGGAGCCTGCCCAGAGAACATATTTCTGGCTAAAGAAACTAGTTTTTGTTAGGTGTCAGTTTTTAGCAAATTCAGATTGTCAACATATTGATTCAAACATATATCTTGTGATTGTAGTAAAGAGGGAGTTGCAAAAGCATTTCCATTATGTTATGGAGAAAAAGGGTCCCAGGTGATTGAGAATTTAAAATAACTGCTATCCCCATTGGTGTGGGATTTGCTTTTGCAAGTTTCCTTGATTGTCATCCTCAGGTGTAAAGAAAAACATGAAGTACAAATGGATCACAGACCTGAGTCTGTTGTGTTCATAAAAGGCATCAACACCTTTACATTGCTCAATTTTTTGATCAACTGTAAGAGTCTAGTTGCTACCTCTGGTCCACAGGCAGGACTTCCACCAACTCTCTTATCTCCTATAGCTTTCCGAGGTGCCACAATGCAAATGCTTAAGGTAATAAAAAGAAATTTTGCACTTCACCAATCCCCCCATCACCTACCTTTTAAGAAGTACTTTTCTTGATAGGACAAATTCTTGGTTTTTACATTCTTAGCATTTGTACTTGGTGCATGCTTTGTTTTTGCTTTCTTCCTAATAAAAAACGTCTTTGATTGATATAAGACAGTTATAACAAATTATGTGAAAATACGTGAATTGTATGAAATTCTTTTTATTTGGATTATATGAAAGTAATTTCTTATTGAATAAAGTGTAATTGGCAACACAAGCATTTTGGTGTTAATTTCCTCTTTTGACATTTAAGGAAATTTGCATAATCTTTTTGTTTCATTTCTTCACTAGTGAAAATACATAGCCAAGTGTATTATGTTAAATTGTAGTAGATGATCTTAAAAATATGATCATGGCTAAGTGAAAAGAATCATATTCGTTATTGAAAAAATACATGTAAATACAAAGTATATATAACACTAATAGCAATAGAATTAATGTTTTCCCAGTATTTTGCATTGATAGTGTATTACTAAATCAGATGCTATGTGAAAAAATGATATTCTCTATAATATACTTCTACTAAAAATCTCACAACATGAAGGAGAGTACACCAGAGACTTTGAGAATTTACTAAACATTTTTACTCACGTAACATTGTTTTGATGTATTAAGAACTTATTTTGTTCCACAACTATTTAAAGAGAGGAAGCTTGAAATGAAAATGTATTGAATATGTTTTTAGCTAGGGGACAGAAGCTTGAGAGATAGTGACCATAATTTTCTTTTTCTTTTTTCATGAAGGCACGAAGTATAAATGTGAAGACACAAGCTTTTTCTGGATACAAAGATCAATTTAGTTTGGAAATTACAGGTCCTATCATGCCTCATTCTCTACATTCTGTGACCATGTTACTCAGATCTTCACAGAGTGGGTCTTTCTCTGCAGGACTGTATCCACATGAGCCAACTGCTGTATTTAATATCTGCCTACCAGTGGATAAAGTACCAGATAAGGTAAGTAGGCCCCTATAAACAGTTTTAGTTGTAGTTTCCTCACACTAGCTGGAGGAAGTAAGTTATTTATGATGAGACAAATTTGTTTCCACTTGATTGTTAACTGTTACTACTTGATTTTATCAATTATGAATTAATAAGAGGAAGGAATGTCTATATACATTGCTTTTGTAAGATATTCAGGTCATATTCGTGACTAAAGAACTTCCCAGAACAAAAAAACAGACAACTTACTTTGTCCTCTCAGATCCAAAACTTTTTAATAGTGCTTGATTCCTTTATAGTTTATTGAAGCATAATTTACTATGGAGTAATTAACTTAACCATATTTGCCTTTAAGTTTGAACATATTTAGGTTTCTCTTTAGAGGGATAAAGACCTTTGAAATTGCCTGATATTTGTCAGTTTGCCAGACTGGTAAAAAATAATCAACATTAGTGTATTTTGGGATTTTGTCAACTCTGCAAAAATTCTTAGAATCAGCTTCTATTGATATAAATTACATGAATGAGCCATTTATTTGTCAATGTCTCCATGGTAATTATTAAAATCTGAGTGTTCAAAGAAATTGTGCTTTTTACTGACTTGTATAATAATCTCTCCACAGGAGGTTGTTCATAAGGAGCTTGCTAACTGTGGGTTACACCCTAAGACTCTGGAACAACTTAGTCAAATACCATTACTGGGGAAGTCATCTTTACGGAACGTGGAAATGAGTGACTACATTTATTATTGGAGATCCTGAACAACAAAGTAAGCCTAAAAGGAATCTTTGAGGAAAAAAGCCTTCTAGCAAAGAAATTCAAGATTTTTATACCTTTGGCTTTAAAGTTCATTTTGGAAGTTAAAGGAATATACTTATGAATATTGAAATGTTTATAAACACTTTCTACATTAGTTTATTACATGCAGTGAGGAGTAGCATTAAGGTTTTAATCAACATTTTATTTTTACTATTTTCAGGTTAGATTTTCAGATATGAAGACAACTCAAACTTTTTAAAACTTCAAATAACTTGAATGAAAATTCTATATCCCTACAACCTAATTGTAAACTGAGTAGAAAACAGTGTCAGTGTTTTCTTGCAAATGGGAGATTGCGCTAAATCTGTAGCAATTAATTTACTTAAGACTACCAGCTTGTTTTATAAAGGTAGGAAAAAATGTAGACAATATCAACTGAGCTAATTGTTGATACTTCCACCTTAACATCTTTCCTACTAATTTTCTATTCTAGTTTCATGCTTTTTTTTAATGCATGTTAATTCAGATGAAAGAGTATTTTGTATTCCATATAGTATAGTGTTGAGTTGTGAAGTATACTCAACTATCATGGTAAAGTAGTACTTGGTGTGCTTATAGGTATTTTATGTGTGCATGTGTGTGAGTGCATGTGTGTATATTCAAAATTTTTTAAATAAAAGTGCTTAGAACTCAAAAATATTCGGTAAAGAAATAATAGTAATTAGTGAAGAAGTATGTGTTCACTTTATAATCCAGAAAATAAAACACCACGTTTATTTCAGAGAAGTTTGTATTTGGGCCTTAAGCTTTTGAAAATAAAGTTTAGAGACATAGCATATGAATACCACTGTAATACACATGAAATATTCTATCAGACCCTAAAAATTAACATAAATTTAAACTTTCTCATAGTCAACAAAATAGTGGCTGTTGCCAATTTTATTAGATAAGATGGTTACAGCATTTTTATTATTATTTTATGTCTATCTAGGTGTAGCTGAAGTTCAAAATGCACATCAAAGTAAAACTATATCACAACTCAATGCCATACTAAATGTACTTGGCCTCTGCAGTAGAATTCTAGTCAGACTTCATTTTAACTCCCTTCTTATGACTCAAGTGGCTTTAACAGGAACGCAGGACTTAGTGCTGTTCATCACACAAAACATACCACTTTTTTATAACCTCTACAAAATTTTAAGGGGAGATCGTGGCAATTAGCCCTGTGGAACAGATCTTGCTTGATTACCTCAATAACACTGGCCCAGTATCTGTCCAGCAGAACCCATTGTGAAATAGTACAAGGTGCACAGCCCTTCACTGATTACAGGCAAGTGTTACAGCAGCCTAGCCATAAGGAAGGGGAGTTACATCATAGTACAAAATACAGTATAAAAGCGTTATTTAACATTCCACACTGAATATTACTGATGCCTTCAAACAATCGTTTGGATGTTAGCCACTTAAACAAATACATCACTAAGGTAAACAATATAAACATACCAAAACCCTGTATGGTTAAATACAATTTCCATGGTACAAAAATCAAAGCCTGGAGATGTTTGTACAGATTGTTTTTTACACAATGTCTTAAATTGCCAAATATTTACAACATTAAAGAGGAAATACATTGTGATGCAGAGTAAAATTATCTGAAATGATTAATATAAAACCTCAATCTATCTACGTGAGGCACTCCTGAAGCAAGTGGCATTAGCCATGAGGTCCTTTGGTACAAGGCCCATTGCTTGAAGAACCACAGTAGCTGCTGTGGCTTTAGCATGCTTCTTATTAGGGCTGGCAAAGCTGGGCTGGTAAGCGCTTCCATTTATCAATACCTATTCAAGAAAAACATACAATTGGGCTGGTAAGGGCTTCCATTTCTCAATACCTATTCAAGAAAAACATACAATAAGAACAGCATCAAACTTTAATATCTATTAGCTTTGTACTTTTTCACTAAATGCTAGAAAAATAACTATAAAAATATAAAACCCATACTATGTAAATGAAATTAATCTCAACCCAGAAGAAACACATCATTTAGAAAAAGGGATTGCAAATTTAGAGGTCTCCTAATAGAAAAAATAAAATCTGATAAAAGTACTAAATTACTAGAAAATATTAAATTTTATCCCCATTTTTCCCTCTTAAGGTTTTATAAATGAGATATTCACAAGTCATGTTAAAGCACCCTTCAATGTTTAAAAACCCCACCACTCTACCCACACATATATATATATATACCCCAACCCACCAACAGAGTATTAATCCTGTGATCATATAATGCTTACCCTCACCCTCTAATATTAAAGTCAACAAATTAATGAATATAGACAATTAACGCAGAAATTCATATTTACCCTAAAGAGAAAATGTTTGCGATGATCAGGGCCACTGTCATGGACCAAGAGAAATTCAGGTGGTTGCCACCTTCTCTTATTACAGATTTCCATCAAAGCAGACACAGGATGTTTGCCTGCAGAGGGAAAAAAATAACCAGTTATAAATCATGTCATCTACTTTTGCAACAAATTATGAATTCAAGATCATGGTAGGGGCAAGAGGAAATTCAAGTGTAGCCTCACCTGATAGATCTTTCATTGCAGCAGAGAAGTTCCCAGACCTCTTTTGTGCTCTTTCTCCTACTGCAACAAGACCTTAAAAAAAAAAAAAAAGTGTTGAGTTGTGAAGTATACTCAACTATCATGGTAAAGTAGTACTTGGTGTGCTTATAGGTATTTTATGTGTGCATGTGTGTGAGTGCATGTGTGTATATTCAAAATTTTTTAAATAAAAGTGCTTAGAACTCAAAAATATTCGGTAAAGAAATAATAGTAATTAGTGAAGAAGTATGTGTTCACTTTATAATCCAGAAAATAAAACACCACGTTTATTTCAGAGAAGTTTGTTGTAATATAGAAAAAGAATCCCTCTGTAGGAGCCTGAACCTCTATGCCTTCAAATAATTCAACGGATTCCTACTACACTTGATTTCTATATCAACCGTAACTTTTCCTTTGCTGTATTTCAACGTATACGTTTATACTTTATAAACTACGGTATTAGAAACTGTATAAATATCAAATGTTCACAAAATTAAAAATTTAATATATGAATACTGATACAAGTTGAGTGCCATATAATTATCAACATCTCCAGGTCTATTTCTTTAGAAATTTAAAATAGCTTATTATTCCAAGTAATTTCTACAGTTTTCCTATCTCTTAACAAATAATGATCAGTTAAGAGTACATGCCAAAAAAAGTTAGGATTGTAAACTACCAAGAAAAAAAATGTGTATATAAATATCTTTCTCTCTCTCAAGGATAAATGGGGTCCCTTTTTCCCCCAGAACATGCTCCCTTTCTGACTTAACAAATGTGACATGTTCTCAAAATATAAACATAACTGCTCTGTGTAACCTCCTCCACAGGTTTATTACCAAGGGATTAGCTATATTATTAACCCAAAACAATACTTTCCCTATTTCCATATACAGAGGAAAAATTTCAACACTCCTCTGCCAATTCCATTCTAGCTGACATAAACTTTCCCAAACCTGTCCTGGGAAATGGGTTCTCAATTGATACCCAGGCCATGTTGCACAAGTCCAGGAAGAATACTCCCTGGAATTATGTGATACATATTTTGTGCAGAGCCAGTCAGTTTCCAAATTCCTTAAGACAGATTAATTGTTGAAGTTAACTCTTTGATTACAAAGATAAGGAAAATAAATCCTAGTTTTAAATTGTCCAATTTTTAAAAATCAGGCTTAAACAAGTTATTAAAATCATACTGAGCTGACAGGCGCTTGTTATTACACTTAGAACATTATTCCAAGAGAAGAAATTACTTAAAAGTTACCAAGTGGCTGTTACCCTCTGGGTACTAAGCATGTATTTAATACTTAGCAACTACATGTAGGCTATATAGGACACACCCCTCATATCTGAAGGCAGTAGCAAAATACAATCAATGATAAAAGTTCTAAGGTGCCCTAAAACAAGGCAATATGAAGAGGTAATGCTGTTGTCAGCAGTTGTTTGTCTCTTCTCCAAACCTAACCCAACCACTGAGCTTGAAAAGGATAAGCAAAAAAAAAAAGTTTGTGAAGTGCAAACAAAACAGCGCTCTAATAGGAAATGAAAATATTTAAAATAGCAAAATAAAATTCTAAATGTAAGGACAAGCATATGGTCCCCATCGAGAAAACAAGGAATTCAACTTTTTAAACATGAAATCTAGTTAAAATTATAATCATTTAATCACATATACTCACATTTTCATAATCAGCAACTAACATGATAAAAGTTGCCATTTAAAAGCTCACACCATTGTCTCTATATTTAAGTAAAAATAAGCTGTGTGTGAAAATGGGTTAAAGTTTTTTCTGCCAAGTGGCTGTACATATATACAAGAGATCACTGGGATCAAAAGAATTGTATAAAAGGTAATGAAACCCTAAATGATAAAAAAGATGAAATAACACATTCTGGAAAAGAACTTACCTTTTCGGTCTGTCTTAAAATCAACTAGGATAGGTTCCTTATTTCCTTCTTTGTTTTTTCCTAATCCTTCTCCTTCTCTCCAGCCCATTTTTCTCATCAAAACGGCTCCCATTCCTCCAGTTACCGGGGCTGCTCTTAAGAACTGATCCTATCCAAAGAAAGAAAGGTAAAATGTCCCCATTTTACAATTAGAACTTGACTACAGAACTCACTGGCAACTTTCTAAAAAAGTGGAATCTTATTTTACTTCTAGATCTGTTATAGTTAATAGCAATTAAACTTGAATGCTTCTGTACTTAATACATACTGTAGTGTGTTTATTCTAATTATTTTCACATTAACATAATAGTATTTTTAAAGTCAAGCAAAGCAAGTAAATAAATGGCAGTTTTAAAACAGTGGCCCTCATGCCCCCCTCCAAAAAAAAAAAAAAAAAAAAAAAATAACACTCCTGTTTTCGTCCACTATTTAGGTTCACTGGTATCTCTTCTTAGCTTGCAAAATAAAAAGAAGGCAGTGTTAAAACAGTCAGTATTAATTGTCCCAGGTACCTAGTTTATGAATAAAGCCCAGATATCATTTAGAAATAGTTTGGACACTGAAGAAGCATACTGTTGTCATCCAAAGTTTTCTTCCCCATTCTACTATAAAGCAAGTATAAATATTTTACTTAAAAAATCCCTATGAAGTAAAAAGATAACTCTTTAAAATAAATTAACACAGTAATATACATAGAATATAACCACATAAAATACCCTGTAAGTACACCAAAATGAATTTGAATTCTTTTAAAACCTAGCTTGATGTTAAAAAGACTTTTAAAAAACTCCTTAAATGTTTACATACCTAGGCCTCGGTAGCAGCAGTGTTGTGAATAGTACGGCTGGCACTGACCGGGGCAAGAAGTCAGCTACAAGGATTTGGCCCTGAAACAAGTTTCCATACAGAGGGGTGAAAGTTCACAGGTTATTCTGTGAACAATCATCTCTCTTGTATCCAACCCACTGAACCGTAATTTCCATCAAAGCAGCAAACCACTTAATGTCCTAAGATGCACATCTATACACATTAGCATGGTCAACAGTTGATTATTTTCACATTAAGAAATATTCAATGCCTCTTTTTTAAAGGGCATCCATGTACATATAACAAACAGTACTGAATTCTGTTGATCTTTATGGCCATTTTTTAAAGAATTTGAAACATCTATAAATCATGCTTTATTTCCACCAGTTATTAAATTTTACATTTATATTCTCTAGCCAATATACAGTGAAAGTCATTAACTTATCAACAGAGGGAGTCGAAAATTATGGTAGCAAAAGGAAATAGTATGCATTATCATTTCCAATATTGATAAGTTAATACTAAATGTAAAAAATCATGTTTTTACACAGTCATAAAACTATGATCTTGTTTCCCAGCTTTATAGTTAAATGCTGGGGAGAAAACATGCCAATGACATGTGACTAGACATTAAGTTCAACAAGGTGCTCTGATGGAAGGAGGCAGCTGTGGAGGTAAAAACATACCCCTGGTTCAGTTCCTTATTTGGTGCAGGCCATGCAGTGTAGTTGTATAAAGAGAAAAGTTAGCTGATGCTTGGATATCAACTGCCTTGATGCTACACGCCTAGAGTGACTTTTACTTACTTCCAGGTTCATCCGCCCCTCTTTTCCAGGAAACACTCCTAAAAAAAAGGGCAACTGTGCAGAGTACAATATAAATCCCCAAATAACCCAAATATCCAGTTTTGTTTCCATTCTCTAAGAACTTCATCTGTTTCTTTACCCAGTGTGTATGCAGTTCACAAAAAAAGCTCATTGAGACCACAAAGAAACACTATTTTATCAGGTCATGTCCAAATTTCATTCCAAAAAATAAAGGTTTTTTTAAATTAATAACCATTTTAAATGTTTTACTGACAAATGAGAATACTCATGAAACTATCATTCTTTTCCATCTAAAAATATACTGCAACAAACTAAAAACATGGAGAATGTTGGCACTCCTTGTGGTTTTTTAACACATAAAGAGGGTGTTGGGTTATACTAAAGCAAGGAAAGCCAATGATCACTTGAACAAATTTTGTAATCACAACTCAACAATGAACAGACAGTACTTGTAATAATTTAACAGTGAAGATACATGTTAAATTTTCAGTTGTCTACTGTTCTGGTCCGTTTTCATAAGATAGTGTTCTTTCCTTAATTGATATTAGCAGCAAATATTCTTCAGTAATTCTACACAAAGGGATTTTTTCCTGAAAGCATTGTTTTCTGTAATTTAAAATTTTGTCTGATGAACAAATCTTTTACCTAATAATTTAACAAAATTATTTGCTTCCCAAAGTATAATTTTACATAAAATATGAAGACAAAACTTTTTAAAGTTCCTACTAAACTATAAATTACTTATTTAAAATCTACAAACTTCCTACAAGACTGAAAATACCAAAAAAAATTATTTTAGGGGTAAGTTTACAGGGAGCCAATTGAATCACTGAATCATTGACTTTGTAAAAGTTATTGATGTTAACATGATATTTAGAAGCCTACAAACATTATGGATCAGCACTTCATTATACAAGACTACGTTCAAAATTTTGCAATGGAAGCATATTCAGAAGTTTCTACCTAGTATTGTATATGACTAAGACTGCATATCATGTGCCTAATTAAAAACATCCATAAGCTTCATGTCTAACTTACTGAAATACTGAGTACTTGGCTTCAAGACTAAATAGTACTAAAGAATAAAGCTGTAAAGAAAAAGATCTACATTTACAATTCTTCCACTGAGATGAAAACCATTTCTGAATGTTCTCCAAATCACTTTCATACTTTTATCTGTAATATAAATTAGTCCGAAATTAATCCAAACTTAAAATATTTTGCTAGATTATCACCTTTTTTCCAACACCAACCCTCAGAAAACTACATAAGGTCATAATTTTTTAATGAATCTGACTGTGTACTCACTATTCATATATTAGTGCAACTATTTCCCAAAATAGGCAAAATGATATATGATGATTTATATGTGATGTTTTATATTAACTTGTTAATAAGAGGATCAAAGAGAAAAAGCTATCAAGACTGAAGTAAATGTTATATTTTAAATGTCTAAAGCAATCAATATCTTTTTCAGAAATTAGCTCACGTGCTGGCACTCATCTAGTTCTCCATCAGTACCCAACACATTACTGATAATCACTCTCTGAGGCAGTAATATCTTTGAGGCAGTAATAAGGACTTGTCTCCACTTGACACTTAGGAGACTTTGAAATTCCAAAGAATTACTTGCCCACAATCACACAGGGAGTCAGAAGTACAGCAGGATAAAGAAACCTTCCCAATCCATTAGACCACGCAGCCTCCCAGTTTCAGCACTGCTATGTTGCCAGTACTCCTGAAACAAATTTCCCATCACCCATCCAACCAAGCCATGTCCCTTCGACAAAATGCATTTCTTCAGAAAGCCCTTCTTAACACCTATGACTCCCCCAACAAAATGAGGCAGCCATAGGTGGAGTTCACAGGTCTTACTGCAGGAATCTGAAACCAGGTGCACCTACATCTTCATAGCACGAGGTGTCCGTCCTCTCCCTTGATTTTAGGTCTTATAAATCCTGTTTTTTCATGAAATCGGCGGTTTTCCAATTGAGCCTGTGGATCACCAGAGGCCACCGGGGCCTAAATGATGGTCCACAGATGATAATCCTCCCCATCAAGCCCACTTCACCACTATCACCCCACACTCCAGCCATCCTCCCCCAGTCTTCCAGTCCCATGGCAGTATCACCACATGCAGTGCTAACACTAGGACCTCCCGACCACTTGCTATCATCAACAGCTGACAACCAGAGGGTCCTGGGGCTGGAGGACACAAGAGGAGTGAGAAGTAGGGGGCCAAGGGATCTTACAGGAAGGTGCAGGCACTAATGAAGGGGCAAGGATAGAGGAATGGAAAATTAGGGCGATAGAGGGCTCTTGGGGGCAGTGATCCACCAAAAATAAACCTGAAATAAAGTATCCCATGGTGAAGAAAAATTTGAGAACCACTCCTTTGAAATGATTAGGTTGGTAGTCCAACAGGAACTGTGGAATACTATGAACAGCACCTGAGACACTGTTAGCATTCAAAACATAGTTAAATAAGACTACCCCCACCAAAACCAGCAGCAGCAAAATATAATAATAATAATAATAACCTCAGGATATAAATTGAGTGGCTCTTGAGCCACATTTATACATTTGCCATTGTCTCATGAACCGGTCCATCTTCAGTGTCCATCCTAGAGCATATACACACAGGAAATTTACTCAGGAACTTTGGTTAGTCACTGACATATTTAATAAAACATTTTTGAAAAAACTTCAACTTTCTACTTTGACACTTTTGTATGTACAATTATTGTGTACCTTTTTAATCCAGGCTTGGGCACCAGTATTAGCCAATTGTTCTTGTGTCAGAACCTGTACTCCCGTACTTCCTGTGAACTGGCCAGGAATAGAGTTCAGCTGAGCCCAGGCATCAATCTGAAGAAAAGAAGTCACTTCGATTAACTAAGTAAAATTACCGATCTGATTTAAAATGCCACTGGTAGTATAATTCACTGAACGAAAATGGTTTAGTTCCTGTAACTAAATAACATACTTAATATTCAGACTTAATAAGACTTAAATATTCAACTTTAAAACCAAATAATATTCAATCTATACATATTTCAAGTTAAACGTTTTCCTAAGCCTTCCAAAATTTGAAGCAATTTGATAATGTTCAGTGAATCCCATTAATAACAAGACTTGAGATATATCTGACAACTAAAAAGCAGAGTTATAATACTCATTCTTCAGAATATTACACAAATACATAAAAAATGTAGTAAAGAGCACATATGGCAAAATGATCCCCACCCCTCCCTCCCTACCTATTCTCAGAAAAATGCATTCTAATAAATGTCATGACAGTTTGATTTTTCAGTTAATTACTTGCTTTGAGATATCACAAATCCAGAAAAATTCACAACATGTACTTAAACTGTTCGCTCAAATACCTAAAACAGCTTTTTAAAAAAACTGTACTGTCAATCAGTCACCAACAATTTATTATGAGAGTTAAAGAATCAGTTGCCATTTATTCAGATTTTACTTACTGAACATCTAGTATTATCAGCAATGCATTTCCTGTCTGAACATGTACTTACTGCTTCTATATAGATTTACCATAGAAAACTAGGTAGAAGAGAAATGAAGAAACTGTCCATTGTTAAAAGCATAGACTGGATTCAGATAGCCTGGGTTTGAATCCCAGTTTCCCCACTTACTAGTTGTGTGAACTTGGGCATTACTTAACCACTCTTTTCCTCAGTTTACTCAGCCAAAATATGAGAACTAATAATACCTACACATCTCATAGGGCTGTTGTGGGCATTTAGCTATTTTTATATACCAGACTGTAAGCTCTATGAGGGCAGAGAAGTTTTTCTATTTTGTCCTCTCAAGAAATAGTTCCTGCCACATACTACATAATAAACATTTACTGAATAAATTATCAGGTCCCAAATCACTTTCATTTAAAGTAAGCCATTTGGGCCGGCCCGGTGGCACACTGCTACAGTGCGCCACTTGGGAGCGCAGCGGCACTCCCGCC